TAGCACTTTAGAGTGAAGATGTTGCAATCTCTCTCACTCCGTGAAACCCAAGATTGTAAGGTAACCAGAAGACCAGGGAAGAATCTTGAGGTTCATGAAAGCTAACCCTACCTTAGGGCATGCAGAGAGGCCAGCCTATCTTTTTTTTTTTTTTTTTTTTTTTTTTGGAGTGAATAGGCAGCCATCCTTGGGGAGGGCAGCCTGTTTATTGAATACAGAGGATACACTTACAAACTGAGTACACAAAATAAATAACTGCACATTCTCCATCCAGGGTCCATGGGATAAAGGCCCAAGACTCCAAATTTTCTTGTCCTACTCTTTGGACCAGGCCTACCCTGGGCAAGAGAGGGAGCCTATCTTTTTGCAGAAGTGGACCAGCTGTCCAAGAACAAAAAAAGTGTTACTGGATTTGATGCCCCATGTCAGTCTAGTGCAGCTGCCTCTTCTCTTGTCTTCCTTCTCCTATCATGGGGGTGTGGGTCCTCCTCTATCTTCTGAACAAGTAACATTGCCCAAGAAGCATTGCCCCATACTTGCTGTGCCCTGTGTATCAGTGAGAGTTGGGGAGAAGACTCAAGTCAGCCCTCAGGAAACTCGTGTGCACAAGCTCATTTCTCCTGAAGGCTGAGGACCAAAAGGGATTTAAAGCTGGTTTTCTTGGTTATGACTTTTCATCAGAGAAGCTTCAAGAACTTCTTTGAGTGTGTTTTGAACAGGGATCACAGAGGGTCCTAGAGCACACTGCTGGGGCTCATCAGGGTTTCCTGTCCTGAACTTTTGACTGCTCTGGGAAAGCCAATCTACTGCCTCCCCTCAAGAGAAGACTCTCCACAGTCAGCTCCACCGGGCGCCTCCCCTTAGTTCATCCCTCCAGTACCACGGTACCAAACACCAGCTGTGTGAATTGCCCGAAGGTTGGTTTGTCCAAGGTAGGCAGGCCAAAGGGGCCCTGCTCTGTCCTCTGGGAGGTTTGAGGTGGCTCTAGAGCAGTGGATGGCTTCAGAGGTCCCATTGCTAGTAAATGAACTTCCTTATACACTTGCTGGTTAAAGGAGACTTGGGGCAAATTCTTTTGTAATTTAAACGACTAACTTTAGAGATAGATTTGTGTATGGGGCATTTGTTTGTTTCATTTGGACTTTCAATATCTTCCAGAGCTTTGGTAACCCAACCCTTTGGTTGATCTCCATAGCAGTGATAGTAGTGAAGCAGCCTGTGTTGGTAGAAAGTCTGTCCTGGAGAGTTCTGTCTCTGTAGACTGATGGGAACTTTATTTCACAAACATTATTGGCACCAACTGAGAGAGAGACCCTGGGCTGGGCTTTGGACTTGTAGAGATTTATCTATGCAGCCATTTCCCAAAGTTTGAGTCAGGAAATCCTGGTTCCACAGGGAGGTATTAAGTATGAATTATTGTAGGGGAAAGAGTGGTCCTCCTCAGATGCGGTACCTTTTGTATAGCAGATGGGTCCTGCCTAAGACGGGCTGCAATACAGTGTTCCCTAATTTTTTTATTTTTTTATTTTTTTGGTACTGAGGATTGAACTTGAGACCTTACGCTTGCGAGGCAGGCAGTGGAACCACTGAGCTAAATCCCTGGCCCAGCCCTAATTTTTTTATTAGCACATGTTTGCAGTACATAATGATTACTTTTGTCATGGGGAGTTGGTACAAACCACATCTTAATTCTTTTCATCCCCTACCCCTTCCATCCCTCCCTGAGCCTTCCATCCCTTCATTCTCTTCTCATTTGCAAAAGCTCGATTTTCATTTTTTTCCTCTCAATCCTTTTTTCATCCCATTTCCCTTCCCTCTCTCCCCTCCTTACACTTCCTCCTCCACCAGTTTTCCTTTCCATTTAAAAAAGATCTCCTACTTCCTATTTTATTTTACTCTTTACTTAGATTTTGGGTTTCTCATATAAGAGAAACCATACAATACAATATTTAAATTTATGTGTCTGTCTTATTTCACTTAACATTATGGTCTCGAGGCTAAACCCATTTACCTACAAATGCCTCAAGTTTATCCTTCTTTACAGTAGAGTTGTACTCCACTGTATGTAAATAACTGCATTTTATTTATCCTTTCATCTGTTGATGGGCATATAGGCTGTTTCCAAGGTTTAGCTATTACTAATTGTGCACTATAAACATGGGTAACACTGTGGTATGATGCTTTTAACTCTTTTGGGAAGACCCAATCAAAACACAGGCAACTAAAATGAATAGATATTTCTTGAAGAAAAAGTACAAATAGCCAATAAATACATGAAGAAATGTTCAATGTTGCTAGCCATTAGAGAAATGCAAATTAAAACAGCACTTGAGATTCCATGTTACTCCAGAAAACTAAAACTCGAAATTCCATTTGAGCCAGCTATTCCCTTCTTGCTACCTTCCTAGAAGAGTTAAAGTCATCATATCAAGATCTAGCTATTATGAATTGTGCTGCTATAAACATAGGTATACATGTATCACTGTAATATGATGGCACTAAAAGTTTTAATTGACAGTTTTAGTTTTTTGAGCAACCTCCATACTGATTTCCAGAGCGGTTGTACTGGTTTACATTCACACCAACAATGTAGAAGGATTCTTTTTTCCTCGCAGCCTTGCCAGCGTTTATTATTATTTGATTTCTTCATGATAGCCATTCTTTCTGGAGTAACTTCTCAGATCTGAAGTTACATTACAAAGTTACTAATAAAAACAGCATGGCATGGAAACAGACATGTGGATCAATAGAGGAAACAGAACCTCAGGCACGTTCAGCTGTTTGATCTTTGACAAAGGGTCTGAAAGCATACACTGGAGGAAAGATATCTTCCTTAATAAATGGTGCTGGGAAAATATGCACATGCAGATTTTGAGTCTAGACTCATATATCTCACCAAAATAAAAATGAAGCAAAGATCTAAATGTTAGAAACAATCTGTTGGAAGATAAAATAGGTAAAACTCTTGAAGACATAGGGGACTTTCTAAACAGAGAGAGCCCCAGTGGCACAGGAAATGGTACTGAGAATCAACAAATGGAATCATATCAAATTAAAAAGCTTCTGCACAACCTAATTTCTTTTTCTAAGGACTCTTTCCCTCCCTTTCTCCCTTCTCCCCTGCCCTTCTTTCTTTTCTTCCCTTCTTCTTTTGCAGTACTGAGGATTGAACCTTTACACTGAGCTACTTTCCCAACCCTTTTTTATTTTTTATTTTGAGACAAGGTCTTACTAAGTTGCTAAAATGCTAAGGCTGAATTTAAACTTGGGATTCTCCTGCCTCAGGCTACTGGAGTGCTGGGATTGTCTGTGTGTGCCACCGTGCCTCTGTGTGTGTGTGTGTGTGTGTGTGTGTGTGTGTGTGTGTGTAAATAATCACAGTGGCTAAAACAGACTAATGCTATTTTGAGCAGGCCCTCGGTCAGTGATGGCAAATCTTTTAGAGACTGAGTGCCCAAACTGTAACCCAAAACCCACTTATTTATCACAAAGTGCCACACTGCAATTAAACCTGAATATTGAAGCTTTGGTTTAGAAAAAACAACTGTTATCTAATGCTCGGCCGCTAGGGTGACTTGGCTCGTGTGCTGACAGAAAGGGTTCTGGGTGCCCACTGTGGTTATGTGTGCCACAGGTTCACCACCAATGCCGTAGGTCATTCTACCAATGACACCCAGTACCTAGGAATGGTATGGACTTCCATGTGGGCTGCTTAGGTGCAGCTATCCTAATACAGAATGGGGATGGAGAAAAAAGAGTTGTGGCCAATCTGCATTTATACAGCAAGCACATTGTATTTGTAGGTTACCTGTGGCTTAAAATAGCAAAGCCACTGAGTGGCGCTTTTTTTTTTTTTTTTTTTGGTACCGGGGATCAAACTCGGGACTTTGCACTTGCGAAGCAGGCAGCGGAACCACTGAGCTAAATCCCTGGCCCTGAGTGGCGCTTTTGGATGTCAAATTTCCAGGTTAGAGTGTATCATAATTACTTTTACTCAGAAGGGGGACACTATGGAGAACACACCCCTCATCCTACCTGCAGACCTCACAGGTTATGGTGAAACAATCCTCAGGAGACCTTGTGCCTGGGTGACCTTGGACACATTTCTCTCTGTGCCCTGCTTTATCCTGATGAGGGGTTAGATAAAAAGAATAAGTCAGACTTCACTTTGGTGTTGTTGGGACTCAGGTAGGTCCCTTGTGTCCCACCTCAGCGATGACCTGAGCATCTTGCACCTCTGCTTCTCTGATTTGTTTTTGATGCTTCTATAAAACTTTCATTCAAAATGAGTTTCCGAGTCTAAAACATTTAGAAAGCAGAGGAAACATGAGCCTCATTGTCCTCGGGACCTTGCTGAGTCTGTATCAGTGTAGAAAATGGGTCTTGATACCTACATAGTCATTATTGGACCACAGGGTCACTGGTAAATGACCCCCAGTGGCTTTGCAGGGAACATGACCTGTGGGGTGGAGCTGGCAAGTAGTCTAGGCTGTTGTTCCTTAGTTCTATTTCAAGTTACAAGTGACTAGTGACTGAGGGCCCTTTTTGGGAGGGGCTGCAGACTCACCCCACAGGCAGTCTAAACTCATGTTTCAGGCATTGGCAAAACAGTTTTTAATTTGCAGAAGCATCAAATTTTTCACCATGGCAAAAGTTAGACATTGGTTGAATATTCTATTTCTTTCCATTTCTGTCTTGCTCTCCATTATGAATTAGATGTATATGTAGTGGGTGGGACTTCATCTCCTCAGTGCCTGAGATCCCTGAAGCCTCGCTGTAGAATCCAGCTCATAGATGTGTTACCTAAAGGACCCTTTTCTCCCAGCCTTTAGCTTCAGCTGCATGAACCCCTGCCTAACCTGGGAAAATTCTTAAAATATTTGCCCATCAGCAGCCTCTCAAGAGAGGAATGTTCTACACTGCCATGATGTCAAAGGGGCCCCAAGGAGAAGGGATCTGGGCCAAACCGAGCTTGTTACTCACAGCCCATGGCTGAGTGGGAGATAAGCAAGGCAAAGGCATGGAGAGAACCCAGCCCTCTGAGCTCCCTACACAGCCCCAGTTGTCAATGCACGTTGGAGCTGCAGGGTGAGACTGTTAGCTAACAAGGACAATGGTCTCACAGATGCTGCCTAAGTGAAAGCCACAGATTTGTGGCTTTTCTATTTCCTTGCCCTAGCCCTTCTCTAGCCTGAGTCACAATGTCAGGAGCCTCCAAGGAAAGTCTGGGCTCCCGAGGTCTGCCAGTGTTGGGCAAGGCCTGCCTCACTGCCATGGACAACAAGCTTAACGTGCTGAATGAGAAGGTCGACAAGCTCTTGAATTTCCAGGAAGATGTCACAGAGAAACTGCACTGTGTGTGCCGGGGCATGGGCCACCTGGAGCAAGGCCTGCAGCGACTGGAGGCCTCTCAAGGGCTGGACCTGGCGGGAGCTGACTGTGCTTCTCCAGCTGATGCTCAGGCTGGGTGGCCTGAGGTCCTGGAGTTGGTGAGGGCTGTGCAGCAGGATGGTGTCCAGCATAGTGCCAGGCTTGAAGCCCTCTTCAGTATGGTGGTGGCTCTGGACAGGGCCATTGCTCTGGTGGGTGCTGCGTTCCAGAACTCGAAGTTGGTGGATTTCATCATGCAAGGGAGGAAAGGCAGCCTGGCTGATGGCCCTGAGGAGGTTGGTTCTGTTTTCCCTGTCCTGGCTTGAAGGGAGGCTCAGGTGTCTGTGGTGGGGGACTGGCGGTTCTGGCCAGATAGCTAGTCTTAGAAGACCTAGAGGGATGCTTTCCCCTTCTTGTGTTCCTGTGTGTTCTGCTGATGCAGAAAAGGAGAGATTGAACCTTAGAGGTCACAGGTGGATTTCCAGAAAGTCCACTGACTGTTGCTCTCCCAGGGAAAGGAAAAGGCAGTGTGTTAGCCAGGACTGTGGGGTCTTGGGCAGCTCCAGGCAGCCAAGATGTAGGGGACAATGATAGTTAGGGAGAGGAGCGCATTAAGCTTCTTTAACACTTCTGGGGCTTCTCTTCCCCTCAGAGGTCCTTCCTGCTCTTTCACACCTGGGGTGGGAGACAGATGGGGAATGGTCCATTACCCCTGAGCAGAAACACAATCCCCCCTTCCTGTCCCAGCCTTGTGCTTTGTCCCAGAGTGAGTGGAGTGAGCAGCTGCCTGTGGGGAGATAAGTGTTGACAGTGGCCCATGGGGGACAACAGAGGCAGGAGCCAGAGTCCAAGGGTGGAGGGTGGCATTTCTGGAAGCAGCTGTTCCCAAAGGTTTCATAATCAAACCTGCTGGGAGGAGAAAGATGGGGGTGAAGTATGTGGCAGAAACACCCTGTTTGGGAACAGCTGAGGGTCAGCCACTTAGCAACACTTAGTCAGCCTGGAGCAACTGTTTGGGATCTCTGCTGTCACTGACTAGCCTCTGGCAGGGAATGAGTTGGGGTCTAAAAGGGTTCAGTTTGTACTGACTATCAGCTACTGAGGCTGTCGCAGGAAAACAGCAGGGGGCCTTTCCAGCCCAGCCAGGCCAGAGCTCACCTGTGTAGCCCTCACCCTTCCCACTCCCTGCCCTGCAGCACCCCCCAGAGAAGCCCCCACCCTAGCTGTCTCCCAGGCTGGATGAAGTGACTTCTGCAGTGGCTCTTGCTTACTGATAACCAACCTCAGCTTCAATAAAGAAAATCAATCTAATAAATAAATCCAATTCATAGCTTTAAAAAGAAAATCAAATTAATATGCAGAAGAAAAAATACTCATGATGCAGAATGCCGTGGGTTATTTCCTCAAATAAAACAAAAACAAAACCAAACCTAGGAAAAACACTCATGTAGAATGAAAAGAATCCATTTCCCTCCTATTCCACCCCTCTGTCCCTAGGACAACTTCCCTTATACCCACAAGCAATTATAGGTACCAGATTTTTCTAAATTCTTTCAGATATAGACTCTGCATCTGCAAGCACTTTGATACAAATAATGGCTTCATACTTTGTTTTGTTTTCACCCAAATATTACCCACAATGTGCTTTCTTTGATTTTTTAAAAAATTTTTACTTAGGGCCGGGGATTTAGCTCAGTGGTGCCGCCACCTGCCTCGAAAGCACAAGGTCTTGAGTTCAATCCCCAGTACCAAAAAAAAAAATTGTACTTAATGTATTTTGGGCATTGTTTCATATTTATACCTAGAAAATTTTCTTGTTCTTATTTTTTTGTTTGTTTGGTACCGTGGATTGAACTCGGGTCCTTGCACTTGCACAGTAGGCGGCGAATCCACTGAGCCAAATCCCCGGCCCTTGTTCTTACTTCTTAAAGTTGCAGAGTACATCTTGGGGAATGTGTCTTAATTTGCTAGCTAGTCACATATCATTGTTTATACTGTTTGTCATCTTTAGCTTTTAAAAATAATGCTGCAGTGAATATCTTTAGATGTATGTCTTTGAACACAGTATGAGTTTATCTGTATGATACATTCCTAAGAGGGGAAATACTAAACCAAAGGGTAAACTTGTATTGATTAAAGCCAAATCAACGTTGAAAAAAGTTATTCCAACTTAGCCTTCTAACCATTACATATGGGAGTGCTTATCGCCTCCACTGTGGCTAATAAAGCATTGTATCCAATTTTTAAAATTCCTTTCCTGGCTGGTAAATGTAAAACAAGACCTTATTGTGGATGTATTTTAATATGAAAGCCTTCAAACATTTATAAAAGCAGAGATTAGTACACTCATTCCTTGTTACCCACGGGGGATTGGACCCCATTTGACACCAAAATCCACTTATGTTCAAGTCTCTTATATGAAATGACACAGTATTTGTATGTAATTTATGTACCTCCCCATCCAGAAATCATCTCTTGATTACTTATACAATAATAATACAATGTAAATGCTATGTAAATAGCTGTTGTACATTACTTGCAACTAATGAAAAGAAAAGGTCTGTACATGTTCAGTACAGATGCAGCCTTTCCCCTCAGATGTGTTACATCTAAAGTTGGTTGCGTTCTCAGTTGCAGAGCCCATGGATACAGAAGGCCCACTGTGTAATGAACCCTGTGACCTATCTCTCACTTCATCATGGCCTGAAGACCAAGGGCATTTCATCAATTCACCACCCATTTAGCCCTATCTAGATTATTTTAAAGCAAATCTAGGACTTTTGTCTTTCATAAACATTTCAGAGAGCCAGGGATTTAGCTCAGTGGTTTCGCCACCTGCTGTGCAAGTGCAAGGACCTGAGTTCAACCCTGGTACCAAAAAAAAAAAAAAAAAAAAAAAAAAAAACCGTTTCGGAGTTTATATCTAAAATATATGGGCTCTTTTTAAAAAGCTAAGCATACATGATTATTCTATCTAACCAGTAAAAGGTGATAATTTCTATTATTACCAAAGTTGGTGTTCACATATTTATGCTCTATAAAATTTCTATAGTTTGTTTGAAACAAATCAAAACAAGGCAGTTGGTTATATGTCTCTTGAAAGCTAACTCTTCTTTTGAATTCATAAAAAATTTTTAAAGCTTTTTACTAAGGAAAACTTCAAACATAACCAAAACAGATAGAATGATATATCTGTAGTTTTAATTTATATTTCTTTCATGTAATTTATGTTTCTTTTACTAAAAGATTGAACATCATTTATACATTTAAAACTCTTTGTATTTTTGTTCATTCCTTTTTTTTTTTTCTGCCTTGTTCTTACAGATTTATAAGAGCTCTTTATATATTAATGAGGTTAGCTGTCACGTTGCAAATATTTAGGCATTTCTGGATGGGGGAAGTCATACAACTACTCTTGATTTTTGCTACATTTCTTGTCAGCATTGCTCCACTGGGCACTTCATGGGTCACTTTCTGGTCCTTGGGTTTCATACACATATTGGTAACTATCTACAGGTGAGTCCAGTCTCTGAACTGGTTGTCAGCTGCTTGTTGGCCCACTATGATATGAAGCCTTTACTTCCCAAGCTGGTCTTGAAGAAAGTGTTCAGAGGACAGATAGTGAACTGATACCCAACCACAGCTATTTAACACATTGTCAGTGCTGAAAACTGAGTTATGGAGGCATTCTGGAGACCTTCTTTGTGTCTTCTAAGAGAGTAGGGCCACAGTAGTCATCTGTGGAATTGAATTAAATCCTAGCCCTGGATGTTAAATGTGAAAATTATTCCAGAACTTTGTAAAGGTCATGTTTGGATCTTTTGAAGTACTCAGCAGCACTTTGGTTGCAACAATGAATTAGATTATTTCTAGGGCCAGGGATTTAGCTCAGTTCCTGCGCCTGCCTTGTAAGTGCGAGGTCCCAAGTTCGATCCCTGGTACCAAAAAAAAAAAAAGATTATTTCTAAAAGCCAGGGGTTCTCTCAGGAAAGATAAATTCAAGTTCAAGCCAGGGGTGGGCCAGAATCATGGTCAAGCTGTTCAGAACCATCAACCCCCTGGAATGGTGTTCAAGGTCTCTTCTACTTCTGCACACACAAACAAGGCAATTGAGTCCTGAAAATAGAGGCCTGGCTCCATGTGCTGTGTGTGTTTACGTGTGTGTGTTTAGGCTTGCGTGCACTAAAGCAGAGGGAGGGAGAGGACAGTTTGAGCGCAATAAGGTCTGCCAAAGGACAGTCCCTTCTACTGGTAGGGTGAAATAGGAGAAGGTCTGTGAAAATGCCAGCTGTTCTCCCCAGCTATGGGGGTGGCAGGACAGAAGACTAAGCCTGCAGAAGAATAAGGGACAGCTCTTTGCTGAGCAGAGTCTGTGGCACATCAATGGCATTGTTGGTAATCATAGCAACAGCAGGTAGCATTTTTATTAAGTGCCTACCACATGCCAGGCACTGGGCTGAGCGTCTACATGTGTTGTGTCCTTACCATTCACAGGGCAAAATTCAATGTCCTGGAATCCTGAAGGGGTGAGCATGGGTAATAGGACTGCAGGAAATGGGAAACTGTAGCATAGGAAAAAACAGCAAACCAAACCCTCAGCCCATGAAGACATTTGTGATCAGTGATGTCTATAAGCAACTCAGGAACTGCCCTAGCTGATGTTTGCTATCTGAGCATAGATAATTGCCAGATCTTTTGATTTTTTTCAAGAGAAGTAAGGAAATCAGAATTTTTTTCTAATTAGTTTAATTAAGGCATAAGAATAAAATAATACTTATTAAGTATGATTTATATACAATAAGCCACAAACACACACACACAAACTATGTATATTTTAAGTATACAGTTCAACAAATGTGTACACCCAGCTAACTACCACCACAATCAAAATATAGAACAGTTTGGCTGGGGATGGAGCTCAGTGGTAGAGCACTTGTCTAGCATGCACAAGGCACTGGGTTCTACCCCGACACTGAGGAGAAACAGACACACACACACACACAAATTCTATCTCCCCTACAAGGATCCTAAAATTTTAGTCTAAATACACAGATATCTAACGTTGGAAATAAACATTTTTAAAATGCTGCACAAGCCAAACAACATAAGCCTGAGCTGTTTTTGGTCTCAGGGCTCCCAGTTAAGGACCTCTGTGGCCATGGAAGGAGAAAGGCCCTTATTGGCGTGTCTCGTGCCTGGGGGCCCAGCCAAGGCTCTGGGCTGTGAGCAGAGCTGCTGCTGTGACCTGGCCTGGGAGTCAGAAGTCATATTAGGGACTTCACCAGTCAGAACCTTGAAGCCCCTGAAAGCGCTACGGCCCAGCAAGAGGTGAGCGTGTGTAGGATATTTGCTTGAGAGCTCCCTGTTTCAGCCTGAAAGCCCAGGTATGCTAGGCTCTGGTCTTGCACAGGCTCAGATTTAAGGGAGAGCTGCTGAAAGTTCCCCTGGGGCCGTACCTGCCATCTTTACACAGTGGGTTCCTTTGACACTGATGGCTCTTGGCTTCAAGCAGGACAAAATCACCAGCACTGTTGAGTACTCCATAGATCCTAGTTTGCAGATGTGAACGTGAGGTACAGAGAGCTTACGGAGCTGGACTAAGTGGTGAGGATGGGTAAGGTGAGCTGGCATGTTTGTGCTACTGGCCTCACTGCATCCTGGAAAAGAGTGACCTTGGGGTCTGCGAGGAGGCTGCCGGGCAGACCGGAGTCATTGGCGCAGCACTCCTTCCCTGCTAAGCACGGATTTAATGGAGTTCAGGATTCAGAACCCCTGTTTGGGGCTAGGCCTGCAGATCACCAACAATAAATAGAAGGATTGGAAACAACTTGAGTTCTGGGTTCGAAACTGGGCTCTTCTTTTAAGTTTTATAGCCTTGGGGAGGCCTTGGTGCCTTTATCTCTAAATGATAATATTTAGTAGTATTTACCTTAATATTTAGATGGCATTTAGATAATATTTAGATAGCATTTACCTACTAATATTACTGTGACAAGATGCCTAATAACCTAAATACCTTTATCTTAAGCACATGGTAGGTGGTCAACAAAGGTTTACGACCTGATGGATGTTGGTGACAATGATTTTTTTATGGTCATTATTTTAGAACAAAGAGCCAGTGGAAGAGAAGGAAGCAAAACCAAAGCATGGGCTGAGCACCAGGGGAGTGCAAGCTGCCATCAGGGGGCATTGGGAAGGTGAGTGGGCCCATTTGCTGTTTCCTATATAAAAATACAATGATATCACCCAAAGTGTGACCAATGGGAAATTGTTGAAGCTGCTTTTTTCTTTTTCGGCAGTTCTTTTTGTCTTTATGTGTACATGATTGCAGATGTCCACAGTCAATTGCAATGTTTTGAAAGCACTTGGAGCTGGGCATTATGGCACATGCCAGTTACTGATGATGCTGAAGTTGGAGGATTGCTTGAGCCCAGGAATTCAGCCTGAGTGACACAGTGAGACCCAGTTTAAAAAAATAAAAGGAACAGGGCCAGGGTTTTAGCTCAGTGGTTCCGTTGCCTGCCTTGCAAGCACAAGGTCCCGAGTTCAATCCCCAGTACCAAACAATAAAAAATAAAATAAAAGGAACATGGCCAGGTGTGGTGGCACGCACGTGTAATCCCGCCACTTGGGAGGCTGAGGCTGGAGGATCACCATGAGTTTGAGGCCAGCCTGAGATGCTGTCTCAAAAAAAAAAAAAAAAAAGAAATCACTTGGAATAGCTCCTTTCCATGTAGGCTATGCCACCAACTTAATAATAAACTTTATTTTATTTCATTTTGCTTTACTTCCTATGTAGAAAAAAGTGCAGCTTACTGCCAGCTTTCATTTAATTTTACATAAATACCTTGAGGCTGAGGCAAGTCCAACTGATTTTTAATGTGAAAATAAAATATAAAAACTTTTTTTAGCTGGGTATGGTGGTGCATGGCTGTAATCCCAGCACTTGGGACACTGAGACAGGAAGATTGCTGCAAGTTTGAAGCCAGGCTGGGCTGCACAGTGAGTTCATGGCCTGCCTGGACTGCACAGCGAGACCCTGTCTTAAAACAACAACAGGGCCTTGGGCTGGGGATTTAGCTCAGTGGTTTTGCTGCCTGCTGTGCAAGCACAAGGACACGAGTTTGATCCCTGGTACTAAAAAAAAAAACAACAACAGGGCCGCCTGCCTCGCAAGTGCAAGGTCTTGAGTTTGATCCCTGGTACCAAAAGCAATGACAACAACAAAACAGGGGCCAGGGATTTAGCTCAATGGCACCTCGCTTGCCTCGCAAGTGCAAGGTCCCGAGTTCAATCCCCAGTACCAACAAAACAAAAAACCAACAATAAAAAAGCCAAAACACTTTTCTTGGAGTCATTGCTAAACAGAACTTGTCTCTAATCCTAATGTAGCAGAAATATATATATATATATGGTGGTATGGTGATGCATGCTTATGATCCCAGGACTAGGGAAGCTGAGCTGCTAGATCACCTTGTGTTTGAGGCCAGCCTGGGCTACATAGTGAGTTCAAGGCCAGCCTGAACTATGTAGTGAGACCCTGTCTCAAAACAAAACAAAACAAAACAAAACGTAAATAAATTTTCATTTATTGAAAAATTTTCTATCATATTTACGTGGTTCCTGTTGCAAATGGCAGAAGAATGAGACCATCCGAGCAGGCTAGTAGAAGGCAACAAGGCACAGACTATTCACTTGAGTATAGGCTGACTGAAGGCAACAAAGCTGTCAGTGGCAAACAAAGAGAAAGGAGGGAGTTTTATAGGGGATTGGGAAGGGATCAGTCACGTACAGGGGTTGGAGCAAATATTTGTGGTTGGAGTCCATGCAGCAGTCAAAGCAGATGTCTGGATATTACCAGGTAACTTGGCACCAGGAAGATGTTGTGTTATACTTTGTAGTCTTATCTTTTTTCCATAACATCCCATTCTGTGTTCTGTCTGCCTGGAGAAATGGCTCAGTTTGTATCTGGTTTTTAGCCATCTTGAGGAGCAGCATGTTTTATTGAGGGCGGCAGTTTTTTCATCTGCTAAAAACTGTAGTTTGGAATTTAACAACATATTCATTAAACAGGTCATGGGCAAATTAAGCCTGACCGTTCCAAAGTCAAATTGACAAAGCAAGGTACATTAGAAGAAGTCCAGCTTCTGTCCTTGTTTTCTGTACCATCTTCTTCGCCCATATATAGCCATCTAAAAATCTTTGTCTTGGGCCGGGGATTTAGCTCAGTGGTTTTGCCATCTGCTGCTCAAGTGCAAGGACCGGAGTTTGATCCGTGGTACTAAAAAACAAAACAAAACAAAAATAAAAAGCTTTGTCTTCCCATTGAGCTCCAGTCTATTTAGTGCACATTGTACGTGCTTATATGCACACACACGTGCACACGCGTGCACACACACACACACACGCACACACTGTTCTCCCTTCTTAGGTAAACAGCTTCTAACAGGTTCTGTATCCCAGTTCTCCACTTTCCTTCTTTTCACTTCCAGTATATTCTGAGATCATTCCACATCTGCCTATAATGATAGTAATTTCTCATTTTTTATAGCTATGCAACATCCCATTGTGTGGTTGCTCCCCCTTTCAGACAACTTCCTGACAGTCATTTAAGTTATTCTCAGCCTTTGACTACTACGAACATGGGACAATGAATCCACTTACTTTGCAAAATCTTTGTCATAGACTCTTCCAAGTGTGAATTGTTTTTACCTTGCCTGTTTTCCTGTAGAGACCCAAAGGGTGAATCAGCCAGATGGGACAGTGGAGAGGCTGCTCCCCATCAGGGCATCAGGGACAGGAGCTGACCTTCTCTCCCAGGTGAGGATCTCATCAGGGCACGAAGATGGAGTTCCTAGCCCAGGACCGATGTCCCCTGGTGACCTGCTGCTGCCCACAGAAGCCTGTGCCACAGCTCTGGAAACATCCAGTGAGAACCCTGGGAATTGCCTGGAATCATCTGCAGCACCTGACAGGGTTGGTGAGGCTCCCACTAGCCAGGAGGTGGTATCTGGTGCAAGACAAGGAGCATCATCCAGCAGGCCTGACACTCAGCTTTCAGAGGAGGGCATGAGGTTGATGTCAGGGCCCATCCCTCTGTCTGCAGTACCTCTGACCAGGATGGCTCACAGTGGTGGAGAAGTGCCTTGCAGGTAAGAGGAGCAGTTCTGTGCTTGGGGAATTGTAGGGAACAGGGGAAGGGGACCTTACCAGAACCTCTGCAGTAAGTCCTAGTCTCCTGTGAGCCACGGCAGCAGGAAAGGTAGAAAAATAAGACTGAGAAGAAACTGAGCTTTGGGTCTGATCAGCGCTGCTCTGGGCAGCAAAGACAAAGACTCCTAGCTTGCAGCACCATTTATTCAGTACATTGGGAGAAACAAAAGTAACAAATGAATATGTAGATTTCAGTACTTCACATTGGGATAAACAAGGTATAACAAAAGACGGGGGGGGGGGTAGCTATGGAAATCTAAGAACAATGAGGAACTTTGCAGAAGAAGATTTGGTCCCTCCCAGAAACTATGCAGATGAAGATTTGGTTCCTCCCAGGGTGTCTCCCGCAGGTGTGGTCTTGCCCTGGAGCATCACAGGATCACTAAAGTCTCATTGTGACCCAAGGCCAAAATGGAATTATGTCTCAGAATGCCATAGCTGGCCTGTAGGCGGAAAGAACTAGGCCTAATCAAATGATTTTTCCCTAGAATTCTGTAGCATTGCTCCCAACAGGAAATGGAAAAGATTAACAGCTGGCCTCAGCTGCAGCATGGCCAGTGGGCCAGCCAGAGACGTGTTGAGTGACTGCCATATGCATAGGGCTAGTCCAGCTTCCTGGAGAGAAAACCCCATGTTTGGGAGCTTCGAGGACTGGTTTGTACCTGCTGCCCACTAGATTACCTAGGGAGATTTAAGAAACACTGATGCCCAGAGATTCTGATTCAGTTCTTCTCGAGTGAGTCTTGGGCATTGAAGTTTTTGTTTGTTTGTTTGTTTGTTTTTTCTTCTTGTTTTCTTAAGCAGTGTTGGGGTCAAGCTCAGGGTCTCGTGCATGCTAGGCAAGTACTCTACCACTGAGCTATAGCCCCAGTCCTATTTTAAACATATTTGTTTGTTTGTTTGTTTGTTTGTTTTGTTTTGTTTTGTTGGTACTGGGGATCGAACTTGGGACCTTGCGCTTGCAAGGCAGGCGCCAGAACCACTGAGCTAAATCCTCGGCCCTTTAAATATATTTTTAAAACACTCTCTAGGTGACTAACAGGGAGCAGGGTTAAGAATCGTCAGGTCGGGCTGGGGATTTGGCTCAGTGGTTCTGGCTCCTGCCTTGAAAGTGCAAGGTGCTGAGTTCAATCCCTGGTACCAAAAAAAAAAAAGAATCATCAGGTCTTAAAATAAATAATAACAATTTAAAAATGGGGCTCATAGAGTACTTCCACTGACCAGGCAGACCAAGCAGGGGCGGCACATTTTGCAGGGATCTCTTTGTTCTCACAATATGCTCAGCAAGCAGGGGTGGTTGTTGATCCCCATTTTACTGAAGAGGAAACAGGCTCAGAGTGCTGTGACCACCTAGCGATTCAGATTGGGATCTGAGTCCAGTTACTGGTCTCCAGAATCAGTGACCCTAACTACCACACTGGTTCCTCAGGCCAGCTTTTAATTAAATCCTAAATAATATGGGCATGGGGAAGAGGAACAGGGCAGGCTGGGTCAATCCAAGAGTGGTGCTTTCAGGAGGATTACATTGAATGTTCTGGAGGTAGAATTGTGGTAGCTGATGCTCAGGATGCTCAGAAGCCTGCTGACTCTCAGGCCCTCCCTCCTTCTACCCCTCTGAGGCCATATCCTGGTGCCAGAGCTCACTGCAGGGTACTGGGCTTTCCTGGGTTTTTTTCAGAGGAACTTGGTGCCCCTGTGTTGTTGTGCCCAGTTTACGAAGTCCCAAAGACCACCAGGAGGCCGTTTCCGATGTAAGCACACGAGGGTCGTTTATTCAAGCTTAAGCAGGGACTCTCAATTGTCACCGACACAGCGGATCGAGATTGAGAGGCCCGAGTTCCAAATTAGCAGGGTTTTTATTGAGGTTACAGCAAGCTTCGGTCATTAGCAGCCATATGATTGGTTAACGTTTAGCAAGTATGAAGTGTAGAATTTTGATTGGCTAGGCTCATTGGGGGTTGAAGGGGATTACGTATAGGTTTTTACAAGAAAAATGGGGACAAAGGTTAGTGGTCTACTGTCACGTACTGATGGTCAGCAGACATCCTGACTAATGGTCATGACCACCTTGTGTGGATAGTCAGCACGTTAACAGATTGTCCTATAGATAGTGGGCCCAGGACACTTGTTTCTAGAGCAAACAGATGGCTGAGTAATGAGCTTAGGAATCTTGAGTTACAGATCATGTCTTTTGTCCCAGATTAAGCACATTTAATCATTAATTTGAAAGAACAAAGGAGACTGCTCCATTTTGGACAAAATGGAGTCATTCTGGTCTCACATTAGCAAAATGGAGTCACTTTTGGTCTCACAGTGTCTGCCCTGGGCTACCCTATACTTTGAGACCCCAGAGCCTGGCTCAGGGAGGTGATCTGGTGTCTGTTTGCTATGGTGACTGGCAGAGCAGTCCAGATTGTTTGTCAGCCTTTGTTCTGGAAGGAAATGGGGGCCCAAGGGAAGGATTCCTGGCAGGCATCCCTGGGCCCAGGTCAGGGCCCTAAATATGGAATCTGGGGCTGGGGGTGAACTTTCCATGAACTTGTTAGGGGGCCCAAAATGATTCTGAGTGAGAAGAGAAGATCTCTATCTCAGTTTCAGCCCATGAGCTGAATTCCAGGCACAGTAGACCTGCAACATGTGGAAAGAAATAAGGAGATTACTACTTGCCCTCCTTTCCTAAGTGCGTGAATATATTTTCAGGAAAGTAGATTTAAGTTAAGGGTCAACTGTGATTAGTAGGGGCTTTCTAGGTAGAGTGTGCTAGGGCCATATCTGAACTTGGTGACACTGAGTGATGTAACTGATTGGCAATGCCTGCCATGGGTATATTCTAGTAAAAACCTTTGGATATGCATGCGATGAAATATCATTCAGCCTTAAAACAGAAAGAAATTCTGACAAATAGTGCAACACGAGTTAACCCTGAGGCAACATACTAAATGAAACCATTTGCAAGAAGATAAATACTATATGATTCCACTGAGATGAGGTAACTAGAGCGGTAAGAAAGCTTACTGTGGAGTAGTTCAATAGTAAGAAAGCTTTGGACACTAAAAGTGACATGTGTCTTAGTTACTTTTTCTTGTTGCTGAGCTAAAATACCCAACACCCAAAGTTAAAAAGAAAGGTTTGGGCTGGGGATTTAGCTCAGTGGTTCCGCCACCTGCCTCAAAAGTGCAAGGTACTGAGTTCCATCCCTGGTACCAAAAAAAAAAAAGAAATGTTTGTAGAGGTTTCAGTCCATAGTTGGCTGGCTCCAAAGCAGGGTGGCATTGTAGAGGGGGCACCGCAGAGGAGAAACAGTTAATGGCAAAGCAGAGTAGGCAGAAAGCAGCCAGCAGTGAAGTAGCAAGCAGTGAGCAGCAATCAATGGCAGCAGACTCTTTCTGTACCTTATATTCTATCCAGGATACATACCTTTAGGACAAGTAGCACTCACACTCAGGGAAAGCCTTTCCATTATCCATGCCCAGAACTATGCCAAATCAATCAGTGGACCAATTTAGTAATCACACATCCTTGATCCCAGCATCACACTCCTAAATGCAACATCACATACTAGATCCAGCCACTTCTGAAAAGCCCCACCTATGACCACATGGGACTTTGTTGGGGGGACATTTAGATACAAGCCATAACAGCATGGAACTGCATGGCATGGCTTTGGGGTCATTGAATGTTCCATGGAAGGGAAGACTAAGGAGGAGAGCATTGACACTGGCCTTCTCAGCAGACCAGAAGATATTCCTCTGGAGAGCAACTACCTTGCCAGTTTCCTGTGTCCTCAGTCTTGGAAAGAGGCCCAAGCTAGGTATTGGGGGCTTGGCTTGGATACCCCCTCTTCCTACCAACCCTTCTTTAGTCTTTCAAGGTGGTGTTGGAAGAATTTGTGCCCCCTGCCCAATGCTTAGCTCTGGAGAGGCTGTCAATCCCTCAGTGTCCACCCAGGGTCAGGGCCTGCCCTCAGAGGTCTAGCAGCTCAGAGAGCTGAAGAAAGGCTTCTTCACTTTTTCTTTTTTCATTTGTAATAAAAAACACATTTCAGAATTTACCATCTTAACTTTTTGCGGGGAGCAGCAAAGGAGAGAACCCAGGGCTTCCCACATGCTAGGCAAGTGCTCTGCCACTGGGCTACACCCTAGCCCATCTTAATCACTTTTAAATATATGATTCAGTAGTGTTATGTGTTCACTCTGTTGAGAAACAGATCTACAGAAAATTTTCATCTTACAAATTGAAACTCTGCACTCACTAAATAATAACTCCCCATTTCCCATTTCTGTTATCCCAACCCCTGGTAAGCACCATTCTGCTTTCTATCTTTGTAAGTTTAACTACTCTAGTTACCTCTTCTCAGTGGAATCATACAATATTTATCTTCTTGTGCTGGTTTATTGCACTTAGTATGTTGTCTTCAGGGTTCTTCGATGTACAATTTGTCTAAATTTCTTTCCTTTTTAAGGCTAAATAACATTCCATTGCATGCACGTACTGTACTTTGTTTATCCATTCAACCATTAGTGGATATCTGGGTTGCTCCTACCCTGTGCTTCTTGTGAATAAAGCTATGAACACGGTTATACAAATATCTCTCAGACACTGTGCTTTCAGCACTTTCGGGTATATACCCAGAAGTGGAATTTCTGGGACATATTCTATGCTACTTTTAAGTTTTTAAACAACTTTCACAGTTTTCCGCAGCGATTTGACCATCTCAGGCTTTGCTCTTTGAACCTTGCCTTTGTGCATCCCTGTCTTAGTTGACCCCCTCTATTCATTGACCCTCTCCTTTCATCTGAAAGTGTCACTTGCTCTGTGTGACAGAGGAGTAAACCCAGTTGGACTTGTCCACGTTGTCTAGCAGAGTGAAGACCAGAATCAGGCCACCTGGCTTCCTCTCAACCCCATACACATAGACTATGGCAGTGGTTTTGATCCAGCAAGAAGCCTCCCAAGAGGCAGCCAGAGCTGGGGAACAGCTCTGAGAGGGAGGTCTGACGCCTGCGGATGTGGCTGCTGAGTCAAGTTCCCTCCTCTGAACACCATGTCTCAGTGCCACCACATCTGGGTAGTGAAAATCAATGGAGAGGGCCGGAAGGCATGGCCAGGGCACACCAGGACACCAGGGCTGCTCTTCTGCTCCATGGGCACGGAGGCTCAGCACAGCCAGGGCTGCTGTGCTTAATTTTAGTCAAATGTGTCAGACCTGAGCTTTCAGCGTGGTGTTAGACTGGGTTCCTCCTTCTCTTCATTTAACAAAAAGGGAAACTGAGGCCCAGAGGAGGATGGGAAAAGTCTGAAGGTCTCCCACCTTCAGGCCACAATCCTCTTGGGACAGAAGGCTCCAGGAACCTCAGGAATGTCTGGTCCCCACCCTTGTCCACCATGGGTTACCTATCTCCAGCCTTCCTGGGCCCTCACCTCATGGAATGCCTAGAGCTGGCCCCTCTCCTGTCCTGTCTGAGCAGTGGTCCAGGATCCAGAGGGACAGGAGTTGGAGTCTGTTAGTTCCAGCCACAAGATGACTTATTATTACAACCCTCATACAACCTTAAGGTACACATGGAGAACTGAGGCCAAGGGGCCACTGTCAGTGATTGGCAGTAATAGCCTTTGAACCTGGGTCTCTTCTGATTGCAGCTCTTGCTTTTAATCCTCAGGCCCTGTTTCTAGGGATTTTTTTTTGTACTGGGAATCGAACTCAGGACCTTGCGTTTGCCAGGCATCACTGAGGTAAATCCCTGGCCCTCTCAGGTCCTGTTTCTCTCCGCCCTAGGATCTCCATTCATGTGCACCAAATGGATACTCCTGGGGAGTTGCTTGTGACACGAGGGGGCAACCTTACACCCACTCTCCCTGCAGAGGCTCCAACAGCTGCCCATCCAGGTGAGCAGGACCTTCCCGGGCCTGGGTGCTGCTCCCAAGCCACTGGAACTGGGTCAGAAGAGCAGACTTCCCAAGGAGCCAGAGAGATTCCCCTGTTGCCGAGGAGGAGCAGCCACCCAGCAGATGAAGAGAAGCAATGGTGTGAGGCTGAGCCGATCATAGGACTAAGTATGACCAGGGACAAAGGAGCTACTGCTGCTGAAGGTGTGGGGATACAGCAAGAAAAAGGCCCAGGAGCAGGACACCTGGATCCTGGGAAAGACTGTGAAGCTGGAGGCTCGGGGAGAGTGGAAGCAGGAGGGAGGTCGCTCTCAGGTGCTGAGGCTGGCAGCATGGTTCTGGGTAAGTGAGGCTGTCCCTTGGCTTCACTAGATACCAACTCTGAGATAGGAGGCTGTGCCCCTGTGGGCTTTCCTGCTGCTTCCAGGGTTGAGAGGTGTGGAGCTGGGGGAGTCTGATTCATGGAAACAGCCTGCCAATACTTCCTGGGGCTACATACCAAGACGTGGGATACAAAGGGCTGAAATCAAATTGCCTGTGGTAGTAGGGGAGGAGAGGACCCACATGGTCCAACTGGGTGGATTTCTCAAAACCACCTGCCTACCTATTTGGCTTTCCAATATTGGTATCATTTTTCATTGAGACAGAGAAAGCTTCTGTTAAAAAACAAAGACACTTGGGGCTGGGGATTTAGCTCAGTGGTTCTGCTGCCTGCCTTGCAAGCACAAGGACCAGAGTTCGATCCCCGGTACCAAAAACAAAAACAAAAACAAACAAAAAAAACAGAGACACTTAACTGGCGTGTATGACCACTCTCAGCTGTTTCCATCCAGAGAGTGGATTCCCACCAGGATGGGGAGAGGGCAGTGAGGCTGCTGGCCTGCTTACTGACCCAATGAGGGGATGGGAGACATCCTTGTGTTCTTGTGACTCAAAGGCTATCAATCCCTCTGGCTTTGGGTCGCTCTTGAGTACTCCTTGTAGTTGGAGAGCCAGAAGGGCGCCTCCACGACAGGCCCTGAACAAGTGCCAGCGCAAGCCACTGACATCCTGCTGCCACATCTCCCAGGACTTTACATACAAACTGCTTCATGTCATTGTGTTTGGTACATGTTCCAGATTCTGTTTATTCCTTTATTTCATATGATATTTCTAGGTATTTATATTATCTCCAAAGGACAAGATTTTTTTTTTAAAAGCCCTAACCTATGTTTACCTTTCTGAGTGCAAGCCGTCTTCTACTCCCTCTGCAGACCACTGTTCCTTCCTCTTCCCTGTCCTGTGCCCCAGCTCTGTCCTCAGAGGGCTCCCTTGTGGCTCTCTTGCCCTCTAGTGTCTGGTGGGAATGAGGTATCAGGAAACCAAGAGTGGAAGGAGAGAAAGTGGGTGTTGATTTCTCTCACTGCCTGCTTCTAGTACCTCTCTTGCTGGTTTCCATAGCAGCCCCTCACCTTTGAAGACAGTCTTTTCAGGTGGGTGCAGTAGTGCATGTCTTTGATCCCAGCTACTCAGGAGTATTTGCAGAGAGGATTACAACATGAAGCCCGAGCAATTTATTGAAATCCTGTCTCAAAAGTAAAATAAAATAGAAGAAGCTGATGATGTAGCTTACCAGGTGGTAAAATGCTTGCCTACTAAAAAAAGTCCCTTTATTAGACTCTGCTCACTGACCTTGTTCTAGTGTATGCTCTTTCCTCCAGTCTGCACTGATCCCCCCAGGATGAACAGATTGTATATAACTTTGTAGCCTTGCCAAGAGCTCTATCCTAGTGGCCAGGAGACCTGGATTTGAATCCCATCTATTCTGGCTTGTTGTGTAGCTCTTGGTGAGTCTCCTTTCCTCTCTGAAAGTCAGCTTCCATCTCTGCCAATTGAGTGACTCACTGAGATGATTGTTGAGTAGGGGCTTTCAAATACCAGGGCTGGGAAGCCAAGTGAGGTCTAGTATACCTCTGGGTCTGGGAGAGGTGGTTGCATATAGGGGATTCACAAGCCCCTTTTCTCCTAAACAGATGACAGCCCAGCCCCTGCAGCCCCTTTTGAACACCGGGTAGTGAATGTCAAGGAGACAGCAATCTCAGCAGGTTACACAGTGTGCCAGCATGAAGTCTTGGGAGGGTAGGTGGACATCTGCCTGGCTGGGAGTGGGAGCAGGAGCAAGAGCTGGGGCCTTGTGGGATGGTTCTCAGGACTCAAACCCAGGCCTACCCACTGAGAGAGTAAGGGATGGCCCACAGAGAGTGTAATAAAGAGGAGCCCTAAAGTGCAGGATAGCTCTGTGGTGTGGGTGGTGCAGGAGGACCCCCACAGTGGAATGTGGGAGCAGGAGAGGTGACAGCAGAGCTGACATGGGTGCAGTGAACAAGATATCCTCTGGAGTGGAGAAGGCACCCTGTGGTGTGGAGTAAGGTGAGGGGGATATTCCCTGGGATGCAGGATAGCCAGTATGGAGTGGGGTTGGGATTTGGAGGAAACCACATGTTGAAGGAGTTAGTTTCCAGGGTTCAGCATAGCCTGTGTGGTATGGGGGCAGTGACGAAGGCATGCTCTGGTGTGAAAGGTTGTCCACATAGTATGTGTGGAGAAGGGAGTGGGACCAGGAAGCCCAGGGGACAGGGAACTTACCATGCCTGTGATAAGTTTCTTGTGCTCTCAGCCTTTTGTGTCCATATGTCTCTATAGGGGGCGCTTTGGCCAGGTCCACAAGTGCACAGAGAAGTCCACAGGCCTCCCACTGGCTGCCAAGGTCATCAAAGTGAAGAGTGTCAAAGACAGGGTAAAGTATCTGCTCTGGGCCACTCAGGTCATTCTAGCCAAGCTCAGGTCTCCTTCACTTCCTTCATAGCCCCCCAGGCCTGCATTGCCCCTCCATGCTGAAAAGGGAACCCACTGCTTTTCCTGCCTCTTTGCTGTGACTCCTGACCCCACCCAGAAAGTTATCTCACACTCCTCAGTCCAGACCCACAACTACACATGTGGCTATCTGGCATGACTACCTGTGGGCCTGTGGGCAACAAGGCCTTTTTCTTCTTGGGCTGCAAGTTTCTTGTTGGGATTTGGGTGGGTTGAGCTAAGAATGTGGTTGGGTAGGAATCAAGGAGACCTGGTGTGACAGCAGGGCATCAAAAAAGGAAGAGGGTTGTGTGCCTGTCAGTCCATCTGTCTTGGGAAGTCCAGCTGGCTCATCTTTTTGACCTGTTTTCTTGGAAACCCCCTCTCTTCTCTTTCTACAAGGAGGATGTGAAGAACGAGATCAACATCATGAACCAGCTTAGCCATGTGAACCTGATCCAGCTCTACGATGCCTTTGAGAGCAAGAACAGCTTTACCCTCATCATGGAGTAGTGAGTGTCTTAGAGGTGGGGCAGTGGTCTCTCCTTGGGCCAGGGCCTTCATTGTAGGTAGAGCTGTCTTTCCTTTCCTCTCACTGGGAGATCCAGTGCTGTGCCATGTCAACCCCTCTTCCTAGGCTTGGCTGCTTGAATTCTAGTATGAAGCATGATGGACAAAGCCATTTTGTCACAAACTAGCGGCCGTTGAGCTTGCTTTGACCTGAAGATATTATGTCAGTTTAGCTTAAAATTTTTTAGTAATTTTTAACAATTTTAGAAAAATTTAGAAATTGAATTTAAAATTAGAAATTAAATTTAGAAAACTTAATTATAGAATTTTAGTTGTTAACATATGGAGATTGGAAAAGTTAAACAATAGAAATTGGACAGTTGGACAGTAATGTTGGACTGGTGTTTCTGGCCATAAATGGTGCTGGAGCTCACAGTGGCTGCCCTTGTGGACAGGGTCACTAGTTCTCATTAACCATGATCCCTACCACTCCCTCCAGTGCCACTCCCTGGCACTGAGGCCATGGGTCTAGAGGCCATTTATATTTGTGCTTATATTGCTTTTTTCTTCTGGCAAGGAAACATTTGTCATGTTGTGTATCTATCAAAAGTGGAAAAACGTGGGCTGGGGATTTAGCTCAGTGGTTCTGCCGCCTGCCTCGAAAGTGCAACGTCCTGAGTTTGATCCCCGGTACCAAAAAAGAGGTGGAAAAGCAAAAGATGGACTAAGGATGGTGTGTTGTGAGAAGACTTTTGCCTCGCATCTAATCTAATTTTTTGACTTAGGCTTCTTCTTCTGTAAGAATTCATTCTGTCCATCAGCAAATAAATTTGCAAACCCGGCCTAGATTATCCATAGTGAGACCATCCTGTCTTTCCTTCGGCCCATCGTGTCCTTTTTACCCTCTGAACTCTTTGCTGGAATGGCCTGAGCAAAGGTCCTGACACAGCCCCAGCTGGTCATGGTACCAGCCCTGTGACTTTTGGTGTAACCAACCTTGATTTTACCTAGGCAGTCTTCTTGGTGAAAGCAGTGGACAAATCCTCGGAGTATTGCTCAGCCTAGTGCTTGCTTCTCTTTTCCTCTGGCAGTGTGGATGGGGGTGAACTCTTCGACCGGATCACAGATGAAAAGAACCACCTGACTGAACTGGATGTGGTCTTGTTTACCAGGCAGGTCTGTGAGGGTGTGCATTACCTCCACCAGCACTACATCCTACACCTAGACCTCAAGGTGGGTTCTGCCCTTGGCATAGCAAATGTGGGGTCCCCAGTTCCTGAGCCTCTGGTGCACTTCATGGTTGAGACCTCTGTCAGCAATCCTGGCTTCCATCCTGTCTCTGCCTTGTCCTAATTCTGGAGTCTAGGGCTGGCCAATCATGCTGCTTCTCTAAGCCTTGGTTCTTTCATCTGTAACTTGTGGATAATTGAACTTCTTTAAGTGTTGTTAGAGGATTAAAGGATACAATGACCTTTTTTTCTTTAAAAATATCTTAGTTTTTTTTGTTTTTTTTTGGTTTTTTTGGTACCAGGAATTGAACTCAGGGACTTATGCTTGCCAGGTAGATGCTGTGCTGCTGAGCTACATTCCTGTTCTTGGTGGCTTTTTTTTTTTAAGATTAGCTTTTGAAAAATTCAAAAGGAAGACATGTTTGTGGTGACAGATCTAGGCAATATCAAAGTATATAAAATACACAGTGGGAGGTTTTTTCCCACTCTATCTTCATGAAGAGAAGTCCTGTCTATGAGCAGCCTGCTACCATACACAACCACACACAGGGGAGCATATGATGCATCTTATTTTTAAATTTGCTTCTTTCAGTTAACAGTAAACTGTAAATCTTTCCTCATTCTTTTGAAGGGCAAAGTGATACTCCATTAAATGAAAGCATTGCATTTTCTTTTGTCTCCCAGAAGTCTCCTAGGCATGTCCTATATACAGAGCCCTGTGTATAATTGTTGGCTGGCAATAAACGCTTGATATATGCCAGTCCTTTCTGTGATTTTTCTCATCCATGGAGCCAACAGAAGAACATGTCTCCACAACTTGTTTCAGAAAGGGGTGCATTTTGGTGGCTCCTTGCAGGAAATGGGAAGTAGATGCTGTGCTAGTAGTGGTGCATGTTGCTCCTTCTGACCATCTTTTCTGATTGGCATCAAACTGCAAGGTTGGGGCAGTCAGAAAAATGGCGGGTGGGGTGGGGAATTAGCCTCAATCTTCTGCTCACTGGAACTAATTTCAAGTCTTCTGGAAAACCCCTCATGGGATGGGAACGAGGGAAAGTGCAGGAATCTGCTCTGTACTTCTGAGTCTAGAACCAGATTTGGGGCAATTTCTGTAAGTGTAATTCCTTGCAGTGTTTGCTGCCCATTTCTTTTTTTTTTTTTTTTCAGTGCCGGGGATTGAACTCGGGTCCCTGCGCTTGCGCAGCAGGCGGCGGAACCACTGAGCTAAATCCCCGGCCTCCGTGTTTTTGTTTTTTTTTCCCCCCCCCCTCCATTTCTAAGCCGAGAGCAGGACTGGTCTTGGTTAACTCTTTTTTTTTTTTTTTTTGGTACCGGGGATTGAACTTGGGTCCTTGCGCTTGCCCAGCAGGTGGCGAAACCACTGAGCTAAATCCCCAGCACAAGGTCGTGGTTAACTCTTGTCTAGTTGTGATCTTTGCGCTCATCAGTTGTGAAGTAGGGAGAGTTAATACTGCTACAAATGTCACATGGATTAGAATATGAAGGAAGCACTCAACAGCTGTGCTGTCCAATTCAGCAGTCACCAGCCACATGTGGTAACTGCATATTTGAAATGTGGCTAATGTGACTAAGGTACTGATTTTTCAGTTTTATTAATTGTAATTAATTTATATGTAAAAACTGACATTTGATTCAGTTATTGAAAAAATTTTAATATATTTGGACCAACTTGTATTTACTCCTCAACTATAAATTTCCTGAAATCTAAACACAGATTAAATAACTGATGAAAACTTAGTTGGAAAAAAAAAAAAGAAAACTTAGGGTCTGTACTGATATATTCTTTAAGTATAAAATAGTGGATTCAAAAGACTTATCCCGGGGAGCTGGATCTTGTAATACACCCTGGGAGGCTGTGTCAGGAGGATCACAGCCTGGGCAATTTAACTAAATTTTGGTGAAATTTGAGCCCAACCTGGGCAATTTAGCAAGACCCTGTCTCAAAAAATAAAAAGAGATTGGAAATGTAGCTTAGTGGAAAGGCCCTGGGTTCAATTCCCAGTACCACAAGAAAACAAAAAATGTGAAATGGCAGCTCACAGAATGGGAGAAGATATTCCCAAATCGTATACCAAATAAGAGATTTCTATCTATTATATATATTATTCATTAAGTTTATTGGTACATTTTAGGTATATAATATGATGACATTCCTCATTGGCAATTTGTGCCTTTACATGATATATCTTGGTTCTTATTTTTTTTCCCCATTCCCCTGCCCTCCCTTCAACCCCTCCACCCCTCTCTATTTATTTTTTCCTTTTCTCATATTTATTCCTTTCCCTTCTTTCCTTTCCGCTAAGCCTCCCACTTCCCCTTCCCCTTTGGACTTTTTCTTCCTATTTCACATTATTTATTATATATTTTGATGCTCATTTATACTTTCAATGTCTCACACCAGAGAAACTATTTGGTATTTACACATGTATGTCATGTTTATTTCACTTAAGAGCATGGCCTCAATGTGCAACCATTTAGCTATAAACGTCTCTAGTTTCTCATTCTTTATGGATGAGTAGCACTCCATTTTATAAAAACAAAACCAAACCACATCTTCTTTATCCAGTCTCCAGTTGATGGGCTGTTTCCAAGTTCTAGCTATTACAACCTGTGCCGCTATAAACATGGCTGCGCATATATTGCTGTGGTATGAGTCTTTTAATTCTTTTGGGAAGATACCCAGCAGGGGCATAGGTGGATCAAATGGGACCTCTAATCCTAGGAGAATATATTTTTTAAAAACTCTTTTAACTCAATAACAGAAAGACAAGTCAATTAAACATGATGAAATGGATTGGGGATGTAACTTAGTGATGGAGCATTTGCATAGTATATCTGGAGCCCTGGGTTTTGTTCCTAGCACTGAAGTAAAAAAAAAGAGAGAAAGGGTCTGGGGTTTTAGCTCAGTGGTTCTACCACCTGCCTCGAAAACACAAGGTCCTGAGTTCTATCCCCGGTACCAAAAAAAAAAAAAGAGAGAGAGAAAGAAGTGGTGATAGGATTTGAATAAACATATATCCAATGAAGATACACAAAGGCCAATAAGTACTTGAGAGTATTATCGACATCATTAGTCATTAGTGGAATGTAAATCGAAGCAATAATACGATACCACTTCATAACTCCTCAACTGACTAAAACAAAAATAAAAATGACAAACAAGTGTTAACTAGGATGTGGAAAAATTTGAACTCTCAGACATTATTGGCAAGATTATAAAACTGTACATCCATTTTAAAACCAATTTGACAATTCCTAAAAATACGAAAAGTAGGATTACCCTGTGACCCTGCAATTTCATTCTTAGGTATATGCTTGAGAGAATTGAAACATAAACAGGAAATCTCATACACAAATGTTCTTAGCAGTGTGATTCATAACAGACAAAAAGTGGAAACAACATAGATGTTCATTAACTGATGAATGGATAAATAAAATATGGTATACCCATGTAATGGAATGTTATTAGCCATGAAAAAGAATGAAGTACTAATAAATATTATATGGATGAAACTTGAGAATGTTATGCCAAACAAAAGAAGCTGGACACAAATGGCTACGTATTTTATGATTCCATTTATATAAATTCTCAATATAAGTAAATCTTAGGGAGACAATATACATTTTCAGTTGCCAGGGGTTGGAGGGGAGTGAAGAATGGACAGTGACTGATGATGGGTGTGGGGTTTTTTTGTTTTGTTTTGTTTTAGAAAGGGTCTCGCTGTGTAGTTTAGGCTGGTCCTGAGTTCACTGTATAGGCCTGGCTAGTCTCAAACTCATGGTGATCCTTCTGCGTCATCTTTTTTTTTTTCTTAAGTAATGAAAATATTTCTAAAATTAGATAGTGGTGATCATTACACAATTCTGTGAATACACTAAAAAGTCACTGAATTGTATACATTAAAATAGTGACTTTTATAGTATAATTAATTATAATTCAATAATATTATAAAAATCTTTATGTTTCTTTTTACTTTTTAAATATGGCTGCTAGAAATTTTGAGATTATAAGTGTGACTCCCTTTATATATCTCTGTTGAACAGTGTTGTTCTGGACCTTATAAAGAAGACATAGAGATTTTTCAGTGGGCATGGGCACATTTCTCAGTGGGCACTCAGAATGCTTAGGCAGGAGGATCACTGCGAGTTCAAGGCCTGCCTGAAACTCATAGCAAGACCCTGTTTCAAAAAAACATAGATTTTTAAACATCATTCTTTTGTACCTGAGGAATTTGCAAAACCCCATTGTTGCATAAACAACAAGCAAGTCTTCTGTTGGGAAGATGAGTACCTGACATTTGTTGGCTATAAAGTATGTCATATACATGAGATCATTTGATTCTTCCACCCTCCCAGAAAGACAGGCAAGAAGTGTTACTGTTCCCATTTTAAAGCTGGAGACACTGAGGTTTGGGAAGGGAAAGGGCCTCATTTAGGGCTACAGGACCAGGTAATAGATCCCTCGACATCAGACGCTGGATTCTAGGTCCCTGGGATTTTTCTATCATAAACCTTCCATCTCCACACCCCCACTCCAGCTTGTCATGCACAAGCAGCAAGTATTGTTTCAGGCTCTCTCAGGGCCTCAGAGTTGATCTGAGAGACCTAAAAGAAGAACCATATCAAGGCCACCATCCCTAGCACATGGGTCACAGCTGTCATTACAAAATGTCAGGTAGACATTTAGCAGCTCTACTCTCCTTCACTAGGCCAGTGATGCTTTGGTTTTACTGGTGTGATTCTGTCATGGGTCAGGGTTGGGGCCTGTGCATGGGGACTTTTAAAACTTCCCTGACAATCCTCGTGTGTCACCAGGGCTGGGGACCATTGCCCCAAGCTGAAAGTGCACCACGGAGGTTTTCAGTTTGGCTCCCACGGTGATACAGGTGTGTTTAAATTTGATTTCATTGTCAACATTTAAAAGCATGAATTTTCACACACACAGAAAAACTGCATTTCTGGATTCCCCGCATTACTGAAAAATGGCTATTGTTCCTGCACTCCTGGATCCTGACCAGCAGCTGGCGCTGAGCGGTGGCTGCAGGGCAGGAGTCCTCCAGTGCCCACAGGCCACATGGATCCTGTGGTCTCACACCCCACTGTATTAACGTAATTATCTGTCTAAGCGCCAAGGCCACCCTGAGCCATATGTTGGTACTGGAGGCAGGAAACTAAAGCCTGCAGGTGTGGCATATTAAAACAATATCTAGACATGTGGCAGCCACAGACCTCTGGCTGTTAATTGGGCTAAGCAGACTTCTCTTTCTTTTCCAGCCAGAGAACATACTGTGTGTCAGTCAGACAGGACACCAAATTAAAATCATTGATTTCGGGCTGGCCAGAAGGTAAGGGGATTTTATTTTATTTTATTTTATTTTATTTTATTTTATATTTTGGTACCAGGGATCAAACTTGGGATCTTGCGCCTGCAAGGCAGGCACCGGAACCACTGAGCTAAATCCCTGGCTGGTAAGGGGATTTTATTTTGATACACTGACAAAAGTCCTTGGGACTCTATAGCTCTCTTGGGCAAGGTTACAAAACTTGAGTTTGGGATGGAGGCAAGAAAGCTCTCTTACCCAGAGGCTGATGGCCTTTGGGTTGCAGGTAGCCCTTGTTACTACTTCAGTCCTAAAAGGCTGTGGATTAACTGTGTAATACACGCCTGTAATCCCAGCCCTCAGGAGGCTGAGGCAGGAGGATCACTATGAGTTCAAGGCCACCCTGAGCTACATAGCAAGACAAAAAAGAAAAAAGTCAGAAAAGGTTATGGACATGAGAAGTGTAAACATGGCTAGGAAAAGAGTTGATGGCTGAGAGAGAAAGTGGTGGCAAACAGAACTTTTTAGAATCACTGGTAAAGGAGAAGAAAATCTCTAGCTCAAATTTAGTGGGCACTTCCTATCTTCCAGGCACCATGCTAAAAGTTTTACATGCCAAATTATCTCTTTTCATCCTCACAATAGCCCTTGAAAAAGCTAAGATTATTGGCCCCATCTTCTAAATGAGGCAATTGAGAATAAAAATAATAAAGTGAATCAAATAATTATTCTGCCAAAGTGCCCCTCCTTCCTTCAAACCAGTTTTCAAAGAGCAGCCTCCTCTCTTCCAAATTTGTTGGGAGCCAGGCAAATACAAACCTAGGGTCGACAAAGCCTACATCCATCCAGGGAAAGAGCATCAAGTGACTGGTGGGAAGTCAAGGAACTGGAATGCAGCAGAAGCCCTCATCTGGCAGCCTGCTCCTCCCCTGCACTGGCCATAGACCCAGACTTAGGACTCAGGAGCCAAACCGAGTGGAAGAGCCTTCCCTATTCTCCCAAACCCTGGAAGCCACTTTCCCAGGTTGCACCCTTCGTCCTGATGCCTTAGTCTGCCTGCATCCATATATCGTGTGTTTTGTGGCTGTGCAGTTCCTTCCACTATAGTGGAACATATTGCCCTACCCCACTGATGCTGCATATGAGTTGCTTTGCTCAGTGGAAGCTGGGTAGAGGTGACATCAGGCCAATTCCAAGCTAGGCCACAAGAGCTTGTCTTCTCGCCCCTCTGCCATCACCACAGGAAGAGAATGAGAGATTCTGAAGGTGCAGTGGGATGACAGAACTTTCTTCTGCTATTATACGGTAGCACATGGAGCAGTGAAAATGTACCTCTCACCCCTGGAAATAGGTAACAGTTGCCGCTTCAACGAGGAAAGAGTGACCTTGAAGACTCCCTCCATGGTACTGGATGCTGCCTGGGAGTGACCGCAAAAAACTACAGCTAAGCTCAATGAGCAGCTCTGCCTCCACGGGGTCTGGGCTCTACTTCCTTCTATTTGTCCATGGAGTGGAGGATACCTGACGGCTCATAAAGTAACAAGGACAACTTTTTTGTGGGAAACAGTCATCAAGATGACAGAAAAGCCAGACATGGTGGCACACACCTATAACCTCAGCACTTGGGAGGCTAGGGGAGGAGGACTGTCCTGAGTTTTAGGTCAACTTGAGCTACACAGAAAGATCCTATGTATCAAAAAACCAGAAAAAAACAAACAAAAAGATGACAGAGAAACTTCAGAAAGAATTGAAAATTCAGCAGTTACAGTGCTAAAACAGACCCAGAAAATATGTAATTCCTAGAGAAAAGTCATTCTTGGAGGAAACAATTCTGCAGGAAGCCTGCAGGATGAGCATACAACTATTGTTATACATAAATAAGAATGCCTGAGGGTGTGGGGGCGGAGAGTCCTCCTAAATGCCAAAAGTCTGCTACAGCTCCTGCTAAGAATCCAACACAACTGTCATGAGCAAAGAGCCTGAGAGATGTTTACCATATCTATGACTGCACAGGATTATACAGTATAGTCTACAAGGCTTCAAGCATTTTAAGGGACTTTAAAGGTGTTTTTGTGGTTGTTGTCGTTGTTGTTTTGACAGTACGGGGATCGAACTCAGGACCTTGTGCCTGCGAGGCAGGCGCAGTGCCGAGCTAAATTCCTGGCCCACTTTAAGATGTTTTTAAAAATTATATGCAGAAGGGCCAGGGATTTAGCTCAGTGATTCCACCGCCTGCCTCGCAAGCACAAGGTCCCAAGTTCAATCCCTGGTACCAAAAAACCCAATTATATACAGTGTTCACTTTAATGCACTGAAATTTAGGGTGGTTTGGTAGTGCCCGGGTGTGATCTCAGCCCTTAGCAGTCACCATGTGCCACCATTTACCAATAACCCAAGCTTAAGCGGCTCCAGGACCACTTCCTCAATGCATGGCACCACCCTACACTGTCAAACACGTGTTTTCATATTTAAATTCATTATTTCCTAGAAGGCAAGGATGGTGACAGGTGTATCACACAACTCAGCATAGCTGGGCCCAGGTGGGCTGGGGATCCATAGAATTGAGTTGCCAGCACCCACTCAGCATCTTCCTTTAACTATCACCCTCTGTTCTCAGATAGGTACCTAAAGCACAGTTAATCCCAGCCTGTAATACACAGTAATACACGCCCAGCTCTTATTCTTTCTTTTTGGAATTGTGATTTTTAAAATACCACACAATATAAAATTTACCACCCAGAGTCCATCAGTGGGTGAATGGATAAAGGAAATATGGTACATATACACAATAATGTTCAGCCTTTAAAAAGGTAATCCTGTCATTTGAGACAGCACATATGAATCTAGAGGACATTATGTTAAGCAAAAATACCAGGCACAGAAAGATAAATAAAGCATGATCTCAGTGATGTGTGGAATCAGCATACAGGAGTGATGAACTCACAGGAACAGAGTATAGAATGGTGGTCACTAGGGGCAGCCAGTGGTACTGGGGAGATGTTGGCTAAAGGATACAAACTTTTAGTTAGGCGAGAAGAATAAGTTCAAGAGAGCCAATGTAAAAGATGATGTTATTGGGCCGGGGATTTAGCTCAGTGGTGCCGCTGCCTGCCTTGCAAGCGAAAAGTCCCGAGTTTGATCCCCGGTACCAAAAGAAAAAAAAAATTTAGCAAAACAAGATGATGTTATTAACAGTATATTGTCTACTTTAAAATTATTAAGAGAATAGATTTGAAGTGTTCTTTTCACATAAAAATAAGTGAGGTAATACGTATGTTAATTTAGGCAGTCCAAAATGTATGTGTGTGTGTATATATATACACACACCAAAACATCATGTTGTGAACTATAGATATTTATGATTTTGTCATTTAGGATAAATTCATGAATTAAAAATTACTATCTTAATATTTAAGAATACAGTTCAGTAGCACAGCTGTAATCCTAGTGCATTGTTGAGTAACTAATCTTCAGAACATTTATTTCATCTTGCAAAACTGGAACTCCGTGCTCATTAAGTAATAATGCCCCATTTTCCCCTCACCTGCCGCCCTTGGCAACCACTGGTTTGCTTTCTGTTTCTATAAATTTGACTATTCTAGGTATTTCATATCAGTGAAATCATACAGTATTTCTTTTTTTTTTTTTTTTTGGTTTTTTTTTTGGGGGGGGGCCAGGGATCGAACTCGGGTCCTTGGACTTGCGCAGCAGGCGACGAAACCACTGAGCTAAATCCCCGGCCCCATGCAGTATTTCTTTATCACTATGTTATTTGACTTATCACAATGTCGAGGTTAGTCCACAGTGTAGCCTGTGTCAGAATTCCCTTTTTAAGGTGGAATGATATTTTCAAATTTTCTTTATCCATTCATCTGTCAGTGAACATTTGAGTAACTTCTGCCTTTTAGCTATTGTCGAGTAATGTAATGCTGCTATGAGCATGGGTGTACATGTATCTCTTGGTGACCTTGCTTTCAATTATTTTGGCTATATACCCAGAATGGATGCTAGATCATATGGTAATTCTTTTTAATTGTTTGAGCAACCACTTTTCTGTTTTCTATTGTGTCTGCACCATTTTACATTTCCACCAGTAGAAGCCAAATTTTTCATTTTCTGTAAATGCTAGTCGACATTTGTGTACTCTCTCTCTCTCCCATATAAATGACTATATGATTCCACTGGTATATTTAAATATGTTAGCCATCCTGGTGGGTAAGAAGTAGTATCACAACATCATGGTTTTGATTTGCATTCCCTAATGATCAGTGATGATGTGCATCTTTTCTTCTTTTTCTAATTTTACTGTCATCCTCCTACCATATTGTACACACCAACAGCAATCTCTGCCCACCTTGTTTGTTTGTACGTGTCCATGTGCCTTCATGTTGAATATGATATATGAATATTCTTTGCAGACTGTAAATGTCTGGAGGAGAAGGACTGTACTCTTCTAATTCTTCCACTAATTTAGAAAAGCATGAACGTTGAGACCTGGGGTGTGATTATCTCCCCAGCAAAATACACGTGTAGGGCTGGGGATTCAGCTCAGTGGTGCCGCTGCTGCCTGCCTCACAAGTGCAAAGACCTGAGTTCAATCCCTGGTAGCAAAAAAACTCCCACACACGTGTAGTGTGAATATGAGGCCAAGGCTCTGTGCCTGATGGTAAGGGTTGGAGGATGTTTCCTCCCTCCAGGAATCGGTCCCTTCTCTGAATCTCCCCCAAGGCCTCACACCTCTGGTTCTCTGCACTCCTTCTCCCCAGGTACAAGCCTCGGGAAAAGCTGAAGGTGAACTTTGGTACTCCTGAGTTTCTAGCCCCAGAAGTCGTCAACTATGAGTTTGTTTCCTTCCCTACTGACATGTGGAGTGTGGGAGTCATCACCTACATGCTGTGAGTGCTCCAGGGGGCCTGGCTCTGAGGTGGGGCAGGGCCATCTGTCTTACTTTAGGTACCCTTACAAACAGCAAAAACTTTGAAGTTTTTTTAAAGAGTATTTCTAGGAAGCATCAGTAGCAGAGTAGGGCAGTGAGATGGGGAAGGAAAAGCAGCCAGTTGAAGGTATGTTGCTAAGCTAGTTTCTTTATTTAAATTGATCCTATTTGTAAGTTATCACTTACCATAGGCTAATCTTGGAAAAAATTGAGATATACAGATGTCATTCCCAGAGTAAAGATCTGGATGCCTTAAGATTCAGTAGCTATATCAAAATTACGGGCTGAGCTATTGAGCTTTTTTGATACACATAAAATAATAACAAAATAACTAAAGCCATTAATGACCAGAAGTAAAGCCCTCCTGTGAACTCCTTGAGTTTATTTCCACTGGGAAACTCTGGACTCCATTGTGGAACACCCTTTGAATTATTTTATCTGAGGGGTGAAACAGTTCGACAATTTATATACAAACTCTTATTAGTTACTGTTTGTGGGCTGGTCACCCATGTCGGGGACTGAATTAACTTCCTGATACTTCTGCATGTATAAAGCAAGTTTTAACTGGAGAGGAAGCCCTTCAGGAAAGAAATGAAGGTGTTTCGGTATGTGTGGGGCTGGACTGCACTAAGGGCATGAGGCAAGGGGACAGGTGGGCAGGATGATATTATATTTCCAGCCTTGTCACTGCCGACCCAGGGCTCCCTGTTTTCTTCTCCCCAACTGTGGACTTCCATGGCTCTTTCCTTAGGGGCCAAAGTCATGTTTTACTTTTTGTCTTATTGTGTAACTTCTGCCCTGTGTTCCTGCACTGTGCATTGTCTATGGTACCAGCCTGGGGAAGTTTAGAGCCCCAAGGCCAGCGAGCTAGGCTATCTTGCCTCTCAGCCTTCACTAGCAGGACCCCAGTAAAGGCAATTTCTCTTGGGCCCTAGTATCTAAATGTTACTAGGTGAGGGGGAGTATCTAAATGATTCAGATTGTCTGAGAAACACCAAAGGCCATTTTAAAATTAAATCAATATATACTTGATTACTGATATATTGAGTCAAGTTCAAATTTTTCTTTACCTCGAAGATAAGGAGAAAAGAGGTGAGGGTGATAGAGGACTTCTTCTGAATGTCCTTCCTGCCTCTATTTTTAAATTCTTCTACCTCCTCCTCTAAATTAATGCTGAGTTATATACTGTCGAGAAATAATGGAGCTACTTTTCTCTTGAACCCTGTTGGTTCTGGTTAGGTCTGCTTGAGCCTTGCAAGGGTTTTTTGTATTCTGTTAAAGCATTTTGGTAAATGTGGCTTCCATATACTGTACTGATGTTCCTTTCTCCCCTCTGTAGACTTAGTGGTTTGTCCCCATTTCTAGGGGAAACAGATGCAGAGACCATGAATTTCATTGTGAATTGTAGCTGGGACTTTGACGCTGACACCTTTGAAGGACTGTCAGAAGAGGCCAAGGACTTTGTTTCCCGGCTACTGGTCAAAGAGAAGAGGTACTCTTTACTGCTTGTCACTCGGGGACCATTGTGATTGTGAGCCTGATCTGGGTGTTGGACTGGACCGCCAGAGCTAAAGGCCCCTTTTTCTTTACGATTTCTTAGTCTGCTACTTCTTTGGAATAATAATGGGAACAGAGAGAGGAAGAAAGGAAATCAATTAAAAACTACTAGGAGCATGGAATCCAGAGATGCTTTAGAAAGGAGCATAATTGCAAATGAGTCCTGTTCCAAGTTATCAGTTATGATAGGCTAATGTTGAAAAAAAGTTGAGATATGCAGATATCATTCACCAGATTAAAGGTCTGAATACTTCAATTTCTTGGTGATGAAAGCCTACTTAGGCTTCGGCAGTTATATCAAAGTCATAGAGTAAACCATTGAGTATATTTTGATAGTCTCATAAAATAACTGAAAACAATCAGAAGTATTAATAAGCCAGAAGTAAAGACCACCTGCGGGCAACTGGAGTTTATTTCAGTTGGGAACTCTGGAATTCATTGTGGAACAATACTTCTGAGTTACTTTTTCTTTTTTTTTTTAGTGTTTTGAGATAGGGTTCAGGCTGTCCATGAACTCATTCTGTAGCCCAGGCTGGCCTTGAACTTGCTGCAATCCTTCTGCCTCAGCTTCCCAAGTGCTGGGATTACAGGTGTATACCACCATATCCCTGAATTACTAAGGCCCCAGAAATCTGGGCTCTAACACAGCTCATTGTTCTCTGATTTTCACAGTTTTATTTCTGATTGTGAAAGGTTATGTGAGAGGAAAAAAAATTCGAATTAAGATGAATATACTGGAGGGAGAAATGAGCTTCTTTCAAGTGTCCTGTTCTTTTGTTTGAAATTTTAAATTTTTATTAGTACACATTTGTGGTACATAACGGTGACATTCATCATGAGGAGCTGGTATATGTACATAACACATCTTAATTCTTTTTTTTTTTTTTTTTTTTTTTTGTGGTACCGGGGATCGAACTCAGGTCCTTGAGTGTGCGCAGCAGGCAGCGAAACCAAATCCCTGGCCCCACATCTTAATTCTTTTTACTTCTCCTTTCTCTCTCCCTCCTTCTTCCATCTCTTGGTCCCTTTCTCATTTGCAAAAGATCTATTTACTTCCTATTATGTTTTATATTTCTCTTTAAATTATTTATAGTTTGGAGAAACCGTGCAATATTTGAGTTTCTTAACATTTGTTCACAACATTTCCTACAAATGCTACAAATTTATCCTTCTTTAAGGCAGAGTAATACTCTAGTGTGTATAAATACCACATTTTCTTTTTTTTTTTTTGGTACTGGGGATCGAACTCGGGTCCTTGCGCTTGCGCGGTTCTTTATCCATTCTTTTGCTTTTTGAGAGCAATCCCAGGCATAGCTAGCCTTATTGCTCTGCCTCAGTTTCCCAGCCCTCACTGGGAGGTGCTGATTAATCACTCTAACATATTCCCTCATAGAGGTCAGAGAACATTTTGCTAATGACTTACTACTGACTGGTCCTTTTAAGTGGGCAATTTTAGACAGCAAGTTCCCTTTGGGGTGCATGACATGATTCTGCCTGAGTGATTAAAATGTTCTACTGACTCAGGCTTCCTACCCAATAGAACAGTTTCGGGTAGCCACAAAAGGCAACCTCAACTAAAAGTTCCAACTGCTGTTTGATTTCACAGCTGCAGAATGAGTGCCACACAGTGCCTGAAACATGAGTGGTTGAATAATTTGCCTGCCAAAGCCTCAAAATCCAAAGTTCATCTCAAATCTCAAGTATTGCTTCAGAAATACATGGCCCAGAGAAAATGGAAGGTATTTTGTTTTTCTTTCAATAAAAGAACCATTTGTCTTGTGACTTTTGAAAGAACTGTCGCTAACTTTTTACATATATTTTTTATTCTAAATAGATTATTTAGAGGAGAAAAATCTTGTGTTAAAAGGTGTCAGCTTGATTTAAAAAAGCCACAGACCAAAAAAATAACTGGCATAAAAGAGTCACTTAGTCTGTGTTTATATGGACACTTGAAGTGATAGAATGAAGTTGAGCATGTGAGATATGCTCAAAATATATAGTGAATGTTTAAATTTTTAAACATTTATTATAGTAAAAGACACATAGCCATTAATTCTCCCCAAAATACTACCTCTTGTTTTAAGTACAATTATCCCATCATTTTTACCACTTTCTGAAGCAGTTCTGGAAGTCCGAAGGTATATTAAAAAATAAAGTGAATTCCGCTGCTAAGTGTCATCCAGTGGAAAGGCAGGCTCGTAAAAACATTAAGGTGTCTTTTCATCCACCCTTCACCAGCTCTGGCATTGTGAGACTTCTGGTTCCTTCCTAGTTGAAATGATGAGAGGTAAATGCTTTGAATCCACTCAGGACATCAAGGCAACCACGACAGCACAACTACAGACACTCACAAAAGAGGACTTCCAGAACTGCTTCAGAAAGTGGCAAGAATGATGGGCTAAGTGTGCTTGAAGTGAAGGGGAGGATTTTGAAGAGGATGAATGGCAATGTCTTTTTTTTTCTGTTTCTGTTTCTGATTTTCTTTTTCGAGACATGGTCCCACTATGTGGTTCAGGCTAGCCTTGAACTCACTATGTAGCCCAGGCTGGCCTCAAACTCACAGCAATCTTCCTGCCTCACCTTCCTGAGTGTTGGGATTACAGGCATACACCACCACACCCAGCAATATGTCTTTTACTGTAACAATTTAAAAACAATTTTTTCAACATTGACCATATTTTTTCATCCCACCTTGGTATATTCTCTGTGGCAGTAGTGTCATTCCTGAACTAACTGCTTATAGCTTGAGGCCTGATTCATCCACATTTCAGAAATGGGCTGTGGGAAAACTCTATTAAGTCTTTTTTTTTTGGTACCGGGGATCAAACTTGGGGCCTTGTGCTTGTGAGGCAGGTGGTGGAACCACTGAGCTAAATCCCCAGCCCAACCCTATTAAGTCTTTTTTTTTTCCATTCAGTTTATTGGTACATTTTAGGTATACAATACAGTTACATTCATCATTGGGATTTTATACCTTTATATGATGTATCTTGGTTCTTATTTTTTTCCCCATTCCCCTGCCCTCCCTTCACCCCCTCCACTCTCCTATTTACAAAGACTTTGTTTCCATGTTTTTCCTTTTCTCATATTTTTTATTTTCCCTTCTTTAACCCTATTAAGTCTTAAAAACTTTATGTCTTTGTTTATAACAGACCTCTTTGGTAACATGGACATAGAAGCTATCTTAATAGTAGTTATCATCCAGGGAAGTGGCTTTCCAGCATTTTGGTGCTGATTCTGATCCTCACTAAAACACAAAACAGGGCAGGGGCCATAGCTCCATGTCACAAAATATCCTTACTATGCCTAAGACCCTAGGTTAAAACCCCAACACCAAAACCAAAACCAACCAATCAAACATCACAAAAAACACCCAAAACAGAACAAAACAACAAAACCTTTACCTAGGGAACCAGTACACACGTATACATATACATATACACATAAATGTCACATTTACTCTTCTGTGATACATTCTGTGTAGAAATACGCATACATATCTATACATAGATATAATTCTATATATTCTGTGATACATTCTACTTTCTGTTCTATGTCATTTGGTTTTATTTTTTAAAAAATAAGTATTCATAATCTAAAACTTTGATTTCATATCCTACTGGTGGGTGGTGAATCACAACTTGAGAAACATTGTTCCAGGATCCTCTTTTTTGAAAGGGCGGAGTACCTTATTTTCTCCTTACACTCCAAACAGCTCTGAAGGTCACAGGATTATTCTACTATAATTATTTTAGAAACTTGTTTTCCCCTTTAGATTACTAATTTTAAACAAACCCAAGTGGCTACATTTCTTTCACTGTTTCTTTTTAAATCTAAAAATATGCTTTTTGTTTTCTCTCCTTACCTCAAGAAACATTTCTACGTGGTGACTGCTGCCAATAGGTTAAGGAAATTTCCAACCACTTAATATTCAACTCTACTGCTTCAAAAGGCCCAGAAATTATTGAGGTCTTTGTTGATTTGAAGAGATGATTCAAGACTTTAAATAACCTGGCATTTTACTATTATTGATTCTTCTAATTTTGTAACAACAAAAAAAAGTTGACTGTTGCTTTCTTTATGGCTGTAAAGAAAGCATCTTAGAAACTTTTTTTTCCTGTAAGATCACTAAGTTTGAAATGCTGTGTTTACTTTTCAAGTATTAAAATGTAGGTATATTTAGGTAAGTAGAAAAGGCCCTACTTTGCACATGTCAAATTTAAATTTGAAACTTGGCTTTTATGCAAGGGCATGTTACTCAGAATTGCCTCTTCCAGTGCAAATATTCCAATACAAAGAATTCCTAGCATTTTGACTTGCTTAGGTTTGAGCAAATCTTGTATTAACCTAATCTAGTGTCATGCGGTATGGATTTAGGACAGTGATCTCCAAACTTGTTTAAACTTATGTTCTCTTTTAAGAATCAAGACCAACATGCATCTTTTAGTTTTGTGTAAAATTTCGAAGTATATTAATCATGACTAAATCTGAAAATTTTTACTTGATTTTAGCCAAAAGGCCAAGAAGCAATTAAATCTGAAAAATTTGAATATTTTTAAATTCTATACCCACCTTCACTCTCTCTCTTACTTCTTAGTTATGAACTTCTGGTCTTGTAAGTCTGAAAACTGATATGCAGTATATGAAGTGAACCTGCCTGGCAAGCGGCAAGGTCCTGTGTTTGATCCCTGGTATGGGGAAAAATATGTATCTTTCTCTCTCTAAATATATAGATATATATATGAAGTGAAATAAGAATGTAATGATGTTAAACTTTCTGGGAGGAAAACAGAAATAATATAGTATGAAGCAATAAAGAAGTGCTTTTCTACTGCTTTATTAAGGATATACTACTTTTGATGTCATTTTAAAATATGTGCTTCTTATATACTGGTGCATTTACTCCATGCATTGAAATAGTCACATCATCCATTCACTGAAACAACTCTTTTCTCAATATGGTGAGCAACGCTGGGCTGGGGATTTAGCTCAGTGCTGCCTGCCTCGCAAGCGCAAGGTCCCAAGTTCGATCCCTGGTACCAAAAAAAGAGAAAAATATGGTGAGCAACTAAAACATTTACAAACTCTACATGTGTACATTTCAGCACTCTCTGTTTTTTGTTTTTGTTTTGTTCTCTTTGAGAAAGGGTCTTACTACATATTTCAGGCTGGCCTTGAACTCACTATGTAGCCCAGGCAGGCCTTGAACTTTTGGCAAAACTCCTGCCATCATGCCTGGCTCATTTCAGCACTTTATCCCTTAATTAAAGGGAATACTTTATTATTATTATTTTTATTTTTATTTTTTGGTTCCAGGGATTGAACTCAGGACCTTCCACTTTTGAGGCAGGTGCCGGAACCACTGAGCTAAATCCCTGGCCCGGAAATACTTTATTATTCAAAAGCTAACACTTTTTAAAATTTCTTCACTTCTGCTTGATGTTTGTTTTTTTTTTTGAGACGGGCTCTCACTGTTGTTCAAGCTGGCCTTGAACTCACTATGTAGCTCAGGCTGGCCTTGAACTCATAGTGATTCTCCTGCCTCAGCCTCCCAAGTGCTGTGATTATAGGCATGTGCTAGCACACCCAGCTCACTTCTGCCTGATTTCTATGGTACAGTATTTCCATTACCTGCTTCAAAAAGCTGTTTTAATTGGTGTAGTGACTTAGTTTTTAATTAGACATCCAACAGTTCCACAGCCTTTCAGGATTTTTTTCCTCCACCAGAATAAAGACTGTCTTGGATTGTAACCTTGTCAGGGAGCTAAGATTGTGAGTATTAGCATGTGTAGGCCTGCTTCAAATTGACCAGCTAATGAACAAACATCCCAAGAGATGGCTGCTGGAAACCACCTTTAGTGAGACAATAACAGTGGTTTGGTTTTACTTCTTAAGTGTCAGTTATCTTTACGAAAAAATGCTTTATAAAAAAATGGCACTGAGAATTGAACCCATGGCCTGTGCGCACATCCCTAGCCTTTCTAAAATTTTGAGACAGAGTCTTGCTAGGTTGCTAAATTGACCCAGCTGGGCTCAAACTTGGGACCCTCCTGCCCAGCGTCCTACAGGTATACACCGCCACACCCAGCTATGGGAAATGTTGAGGGCAGCTAGGGAGGTTATTTTGCAGTTCTATCTAGTGTGGTAGTTCTTATTCTATTTGGGACTTGAAGTCCTTGTGGAATGCTATAATCTTCCCCCCAAGAAAAATGTACAATTACCGTGGTCTAGAGCAGCACTGTTCAGAGAAATATCAACCATATTCATAATTTAAAATTTTCTAGTAGCTCCTTTGAAAATATTCACTGAAATTAATTTAAATGTGTAATCCAATATATGAAAAACATTTCAATATGTAATCAACATAAAATTATGGAGATATTTTTTCATGCTAATGCTCTATAACCTGGTATGTAATGTACACTTACAACATGTTAATTTAGATGCTAGGTTTTCATTGGAAATAATTTGTATTTACATTTCATAAAATTTACTGTGGAAAAAATATATGTACTCAAGTGGCTTGAAACATTCTTAAGTTTCCCAATAATTTAATGAAGTATCTATTTTTACATTTAATTAAAATAAAGTTAGAAATTCAGTTCTGTAGTTGCATTAGCCACATTTTAAGTGTGTAATAACCACGTGTTTAGTGGAGTCTGTACCATATCTACCAAACCTTAATTAATTTTTCCCCTGATGCTGTTATTACCTAAAGCAACTGTTTCTTTCCAAAGTCTCTCTGAGGGGTATGTTTAGGACAGGCCCACACAAGTGAGAGGTAATGTGGATTTTAGCCTCCCTGAACTGAAGTTAAGAGGTGGGAATGGTGGTGGCACATGCCTGTAATCCTAGCAGGATCATCTGGAGTTTGAGGCCATCCTGGGATACATAGTGAGTTCAAGGCCAGCCTGAATTATGTAGCAAGACCTTTTCTCCAAAACCAAAAATCAATGCCAAACAAACAAAAAAATGAACAAACCTGAACTGAAGAGGAGCTTTTGTGAAGCTTGAGGTTTCTGGATATTTTTAGTTCTCTAATTTGCTAATGTGTACTTGGCCCCCAAAAGTTTAGATTACAACTGTGATGATATCAACTATATATAATGGAGCTTTTTTATTTGATAAGAACAATAGTGATTGAAAACTGTTGGGCAAGAAATGCTAAAAGATAGGGCCTGCTTTATTCACTTATTAGTTGGCTAGAGTTGGTAAGAGTGTGGAGAAAACAGCATTTTCCTATTTTTGATGGATGGGTATACAAATGTCATGCCCACCATGCAGCAATTCCATTTCTAGAAATTATCACTCAGTACTTGAAAAAGTATATAGCACTATTGCTTATGATCCAATGGAAACACATGTGTGTCTGTGGGAGTTGAGTGAGCTTTGCCATCATAGTGGAATAAGTCAAAAGCATTAAAGATAGATGTGGTCAGGGTTTGCAAGGGAATAGATTTGATACAGGATGCATAATTTATAGGATTATTTTGTAATAGTCATCCAAAAAGTCAAATGCAGAGGAGTGCAAGAGATTAGCCACATACTAGAGACCCAAAGAATCTAGCCAAGGGTCTGAATCCCACAGCAATGTCCCACACAAGTCCAGCTGAAGGCCTAGAGTCCAAGTTAATGTCCTCCACGAGTTTAGCCAGTGGCCTAGAGCCCACAGCAATGTCTCATGCTTGTCTGTATTGAGGATCTGCACTGGAAAGCCCAAAGGCCAATGGTGGAAGCCAGAAAACCTGCACCAATGGGGTGAAGGATTTGTGTCACTGGGCTAAGGGATCTACACTGGAGCCAGGAAGTGATGCTTACAGTGAACATCAGAGCTTCCCTAACAAGAACAGCAGCCATTCCCAGCGACAGTAAGGACCCAAGCTCTTCCTCCTCAGAGAACAGCCAAGTTCGCCTCAGGTAAACCAACTGCAGCAAGCTTCTCCCAGAAAATCAACAGCCAACGATCTTTCCCTCCAGTTCTCTTTCTATGCCATTGGCAACAGCCCTCAGGTGGGTTTTCCACACCAAACCACGCTGATTCAGTTCAGCTGGCTGCTCCAAGTTGACCATTATTAATCTACTGATAGCCATCTTTTCATTTAAAAATTATAGAACATATATATGGTATCACCCATTTATGAAGAGACACATGCTCACGTGTGCATTAAAAAGTTATAGGATATGCAACAAACAAACATTGGGATGCGAAAAGTGGGTGGTTAGGAGGGGAAATTCTTGTGCTTGGGAGAGGGAATTCTACTTTTCATAATTTTCTGATCCACTTGTATTTCTAACAAGCACGTTCTGCTTTTATAATAAAAAATTAGTAAAACAATATCGTGTGGACCCGGATTTGAGCAAGCAGTAAAAAGATATATTAGAGACACTCAGGAACTTTCATTTTAAATTGTGTCTTTGGTAACAGAATGAAGCTTCCAAAAATTTTTTTTAAACAATAAATATAGTACTGAAACAGATGGAATGAGTAATGAGCTTCCATCAGGGGGAATATGAATATATTCAAAAACTGTATTTTTTATAAAAATAAGGCTCAGAAACATCAGACTTAACCAAATCTTAATAGTGTAATTTCAAAGCAAATGTCCTTAATTAATTTAAATGGATGAAAGACCTAAATGTAAAAGTTACTATAAAACTTTTAAAATATAGAGGGAAAGCTTCATGACTTTGGATTTCTTTGAGATAAGAGCGAAAGTTCAGGTAACAAAAGTGAAAGTAGGTCAAGTATACTACATCAAAACTAAAAATTGTGCATGAATGTACAGTTAAGATTGAAAAAGCAGGGCCAGGGATTTAGCTCAGTGGTTCCGGCGCCTGCCTCGCAAGCGCAAGGTCCCGAGTTCGATCCCCGGTACCCAAAACAAAACAAACAAACAAAAACAAAAACAAAACTCACCCATGCTTTTGGGCCGGGGATTTAGCTCAGTGGGTCTGGCGCCTGCCTTGAAAGCTGAGGACCTGAGTTCGATCCCCGGTACCAAAAAAAAAAGATTGAAAAAGCAACCTGAACAATGGGAGAAAATATTCTCCAAGCATATTTCTGATAAGGGTTAATATCTAGAATAAAGAACTACAACTCAACCAGAAAAAAAAACCCAATTCAAAAAGGGGCAAAGAATTTGAGTAGACATTTCTGCAAAGAAAATTTATAACAGCCAAGCACAGATGTTTGACATCATTAATCACTGAGGAAAAACAAAAACCACAAGATAACACTTCACATCCATTGGGGTAGCTACTTAAAAATAAAGAAACACTCCCAACCCCAAACTAAACCTAATAGAAACTAAGCACTGGCAAGAATGTGGAGAAATGGACCCTTGTGAACTATGAATGGGAATATATGATGTACCTACTATAGATGGTTTGGTCCTCAAAATTTTTAAAATTATAATATGACCCAGTAATCCCACATCTGTGTATATAACCCCCAGAATTGGAAAGCAAAGTCTCCAAGAAATAGCTGTACATCCATGTTCACAGCAGCATTACAATGTCTAGGAGGAAGCAACCTAAGTGTCCCATCAATATATAAATATATTTTAAGTGGTGCTATATGCATGATGGAATATCCTTGAAAATGAAGATTTTGATACAAGCTACAACATGGATGAAACTCGAGGACATTATACTAAGGAAATAAATCAGTCACAAAGAAATACTGTGATTCCACTTCTATGATGTACAGGACAGAAAAAATGTTGGTTTCCAGGAGCCTGGGGGAGGGAGGAATGGGGAATTGTTTAATGGTAGTCAGGTTTTGCAAAAAGAAAAAATTTTGGAGCCTGGTTGCAAAACAATGTGACCACTAAACTGTACTCAAAGGTAAAGCTGCCAGGGATTTAGCTCAGTGGTTCTGTTGCCTGCCTTGCAAATGCAAGGACCCGAGTTCGATCCCTGGTACAAAAAAAAAAAGTGTATATGTTTAACTTTATGATAAAATTACATTATTTTTGACTCAAAGCTAAAAATCTAAACTTGGCAACAAATTAAAAACAATGTATCTTCTTGAATGAGGAACATTCATTTACTCATTTTACACTATAGTAGTTAACAAGAACTATTAGTGAATGCCTTCCAAATACCATATACAAGTGTTACCTTTAATTCTCACAAGACACATGTATCTCTTTTATAAATGAAAAAACTGAAGCTCATTTAAGTTTTGAGCTGTTTTTAGGGAAGAAATGGCACAGCCAGAATTTAAATATCACAGGGCTTGTCAGATGCTATTTCTATGTTGGGATAATTTGTGTCATTTCCTGAATGTCAGTCTGCTAAATTTTGAGTTAAAAAGGGCAGGCAAGCCAGGCAGGGTGGCACACACCTATAGTCTCAGCTTTTCAGCAGCTTAGGTAGGAAGACTTAGGTAGAAAGTCCTTGAGTTCAAGATAAGCCTGCGCCACCAAGTGAGATCCCTGTCTCAAAAAAAAAAAAAAAAAAAGGAGCAAGACAGAAAGAAAGTCATTGTTAGTCACTCCACATCTATGTAGCAGGTATTATGACTTCAATGTAGTAGATTAAAAGGCAACCAGTATTGTTACTGATGCCAGTCTGAACATATTGGCAATCACTTCATCATGGAAAAATTTAATTACATCTTATTTTGTACTGGGGAATGAACCCAGGGCCTCTGCACTGAGCTACATCCTCTGCCTGCCTGCCTATCTGTTGAGACAGGGTGTCACTAAGTCTCTAAGTTGCCCAGACTTGACTAGAACTCAAGATCCTCCTCCCTCAGCCTCCCAGAGTGCTGAGTTATAGGTACACCACAATGCCCAGCTAAATCATATATATATGTGTATATATATGTGTATATATGTGTATGTATATATGTGTATATGTATATATATATATATGAATAGGGCTGGCATTTTTCTTTTTTTCTTTTTGGTACTGGGGATTGAACTCGGCATCTTGTGCTTGCAAGGAAGGCACCGGAACCACTGACCTAGATCCCTGGCCCTAGATCATATATTCTTAATTTTAGTTAAAATGTCTTTGTATGATGCCCAATCATAAAAGGTCCTTTTCCATAGTTAATTGCTCTATTTTTCTAATATTTGCTGAATACTTATAGCAGGTACTGTAGCTAAGTACTTTACGTGTACTGGCTGTAGTACTCCACATTATTCCAAGAGGTATCACCATTTTTATTCCTTCTTTACAAGTGAGGCATAAAGAAATGAATTAGTTTGCTTCAGGTTTCACAGGTGTTGAGTAGCTGAGCAGGGTTTGAAACCCGGGAAATCTGATTCAAGTCTGGGCTCTGGTGAGCAGTGAGGACTACTGTACAATACGTTGGGCTTTTTTCCTGATTTTGGCCTAACAAGGATTCCTTCAAACTAATGACAAGTGCAACCTGAATGCACAAAAAATATTTATTAACTCAGATTGTACAAAATAGTCAAACCAAAACAACTGCACAAAAACTTAAGTAAAATCTTATATTCTAGATAGGACAGGAGACTGCCTTTAGCTTAAGACACAACAGAAAAGCAAAACGGCTGCCATTTCCTATTGTAGAACAGCCAGCCCTGGGGGGATCTGAGGTGCGAGGCACTGCAGTTGATCCAATGTTGTTTAGGTCGGGGCAGCCCACTGCCCAGAACTTAGCTCAAGTAATGGCTTCGTTGCTATTACACCAATAGGATCCTTGGTATAAAAGTTCAAACAAAGCTCAAAGCCCTCAGTCCTTCCTGGAGGTGGCAGTAAATTATAGGTTTGCAGTACATCCCAGGCTGAAAACTAAAATCACTCTGCTGTAGTCTTTTGAGCACTGGCTGCATTTTCCAAAATTTTCCTTTTCCATTCTTCATAATCCTGTGTCACATCTTTATCTTTCTGTGGTTTATGTGGGATTTCTTCTACTTTCTTTATTTCTATGAGAAAAAAACCAAAGTAATTTCAAAATTCTTATGTTTACAAATGAAGTAAACTTGTAGAAAGTATCTACTGCAATTAATTAAGGTAATGGAATAAGATACTGATATAAAATGGCAACTCTCACTTTTTTTTCTTCCTTATACTCCTAGCATTATATGACATCTAATAGTTAAGATTTGTCACTTATTTTGTGCTTGATGAGCACTGAACCAAGCACTTCCAACTGTATCTCATTCAACCCCACAATACTAATTAAATGGGTGCTAATATTACATTTTATAGATTAGGAAATCTCACAAACACTGTGACTTTCTTAAACTCACACAGCCAATAGGTGGTGTTAAAGCCAATAAAAAGGCCACCAGCCAGATTGTGCTTGTAGCTGGAGCTGGTATGTAAGGAAACAAGAACTTAACCTGAAAACATTTTTTGTAACTAAGAAGAAAACAAAACGAGCCTCAGCCAGTCACAACCAGTCAACCAGTTATACGACTAGGGACCTCCCATCAGGGGATGGCCAAATACAGCAAATGTATAGCCGTAGTCATAAATTGATTTCTCTAATTTGCTTGTGGGTTCAGTCTATAAAATCTCACTGTTTATAGACTACTTGGTCTCTCTGAATCTCTTTCTGATTTGAGTGCTGCCCAATTCATGACTTAGCCTGTTCAAACTGTTAAAAACTTTGTCTAAAGCTTTTAACAGTACTCAGGCTCTTTGGCTTCAGATGACACAATACTTCTGTTATTTTCACTAATCAATCATTGCTTGGAAGATTGGTCTTAGCATATGATGAATGGTCAGGATTTATTTTAAGGCTGCTCTTGTCAAGTGAGCTGCTAGAATAGACAAGGACTATTCACTGCATTAATCACACTGCACTAATTTCAGTATCAGTATCAGTACAATATTAGAGGACTTACCTTTTGCCAGTGATTCAACTACTGTATTCTTTTTCTTCCGTGGAGGACTAGGTAAATCTCTAAGTTCTCCTTAAAGGAAAGAAAGAAAGTATTAGCAGGTTAATCTTTCTCCTATTCTGTTTTAGTATTTGGCCATATTTTAGTTCATAAACAAACACTGGCTACCTTGATGGCCCAAAGACTAGGACAAAAAGGCAAATGATCTTGCCCTTTCCTTTTCTTACTGCTTCTCTTGTCAAACTTGAAAATCACTTCTGTCCTATGTATATGGAGAATGGTATTTAACATCACAGCATGTTAACAGAGAATCTACTTTTTCAGGCATGGATTCATGGAATTACGGGTTTCTAAAAAGTTACTACTTTATTTGAAAAATAGAAAAACCAATTTGTCTCACTAAAAACATATCTAGCCCACGTTAAATACAGAATTCAGAAAGCAGCCAGTTTGCAAGTTGAAAATATCCAACTTTTTACCAACAAGTCTACATTTTCTTTTTTTTTGATACCGGAGATTGAACTTGGGTCCTTGTGCTTGCGCAGCAGGGGGCGAAACCACTGAGCTAAACCCCCGGCCCCAAGTCTACATTTTCAAATGAGATATTCTTTTTTTTGTATTGGGGATCGAACTCAGGACCTTGTGCTTTTGAGGCAGGTGGAGGAATCACTGAGCTAAATCCCCGGCCCCAAATGAGACATTCTTAAACTACAGAATACTCACTGTCGATGTGCTGTCCAGTCTTCTCTAATTGTTTACACAGTCGATCAAATATAGCTTTTTTTACACCGGCCATGGCTATCATTTTGTTTTTATCCACTTTTAGCTTTAGAATCCTACAAAAGAATTTCAAAAACTGCTTTTTGGGGACTAGTAGTTTTCTTTTCTGGCCAAAATTTTCCTCCAAGCTTTATCAAGAGTCCTCCAGTTGTCTAGTTTTCCCTTTATTCCACATCCATGTCATTAGCTAAAATCATGAAAATTTGTCTTTTTAAGGTCTTTAGTTATGTATTGAGTTAAAATATACATGGGGTCTATTTTGTAACAAATGGAGCAGATAAACTACATCTGCTGTAGAGCCTCATGCCTTTTAGAACCCTTTTTTAGTAAATCTCAGATGTCAATTTACAGAATGATAATCTTTAGCCCATACTACTTATGATTATACTAGAGTAGTATTAACACCCTTCCACCTCCTCAAAAAAACCCAACCCCTTTACAGCAAACACTAATAAAAAATCACAAGCCAGGCATGATGGCGCACCCCTGTAATCCCAGCACTCTGGAGGCTGAGGCAGGAGGATCACTGTGAATTCAAAGCCAGCCTGGGCTAGTGAGTTCAGGGCCAGCCTAAACTACAAAGGAAGATCCTGCCTCAAAAAACAAAAAAACAAAACAAAACAAAAAATCACAAACTTCTTATTCAAGATAACAGACTTGTCCACACCCCTCTTTGCTCAGTCTAATATGGCTCTAAAAGTAGGGCTATTTGACCATTTTGAGTTTTCTGCATTAACAGCCCTACTCCCTCTTTACACACATATATCTTTGTTGATTTAAAGGAACATTTTCTGTGTATCAGCCCTAGGTATGTGAACAGAGTCAAACACACCAAAAATTAGTACCTAGGTATGAGAAACTTCTTCATTCTTGTGCAGCAGGCACTGGCACCACTGAGCTAAATCCCCAGCCCTTTCATTCTTTAATGGCCAACTACCCCGCAGCCCCATCCCAAGAAACTTTTAGGCACGATGACAACTTTAGACAAAGATATCAATAACTACACATATTTCCAGGATAACAGTTCAGAATATACAGAGTAACACAAAAAATGTTTTATAAGTTAATTGTAGAACAGTTTCTGCCAGTACTTTAAAAGAAAATATGACTGGAAAAATCACACATGACCACTGTTCTGACAGATTTCATCATTTATAAGAAGCAGACTCTGAAATCAGAATACCCAGCTTACATAAGCTACCACTTGGCAACTGCACTTCTGGCATCACTAGTTCCAAGTTGTCACCTACATTACAGGATAAACTGGAAAACTGCTCACTTAACCACTGGTCTTGCTGTTATTTATTTACAGGGGAGGGGCCGGGGATTTAGCTCAGTGGTTCTGGCGCCTGCCTTGCAAACGCAAGGTCCCGAGTTCGATCGCAGGTACCAAAAAACAAACAAACAAACAAACAAGCAATATTTACAGGGGAAAATATGCCAAGCTGAAATCAGCTAAATTAGAAGTATCCTTTGGGAATTACAAACCCCATTTATAAACTGAAAACTTCTGAATATTAAAAGGAACACTTACTTGCATGCTGAAAGTAGTGCAGCAGTGGTGAAAAGTGGCCTGGATAAATCCAGATCTACTTGCTGTGTCTGAGGAAGACTGGACTCATAGCTAGAGATGAGTAGTGTTTGCAGAATCATTTGTCAGAAAATTATTTCAAGGAGGTGGTGGATATGATCAAAATATTTTATACACATGTAAGAAAATGCCACACATCCCAAAATAAGTAAGTTCCAGTGTTGTACAGAACAGTGAGATGCCAATATTTCACAATAACTTATTATGTATTTATTGTGTGAATCACAAGAAGAGATGCTCAAAGGCTTCAAATAACAAGTAATGATAAGAAGATGGAAATATTGATTATCCTGACTTCATCAGTGCATGTTGTATACTTGTACTGAAATATCACACTATATCCCACAGATACAATTATTTTGTTAATCAAAAAATTTTAAAGGTTTAATACGGAAGTGTTAATTACCCAGCTGATCATTAAACCCGTATACATGTATCAAATTATCACACCAAACCCTCTCAATTTGTACAACTAAAATAATCATATCAGCAAAATTTTTTTAAAAAGGAAAATATTATTTCAAAAGGGACTGAAAATGCAAACCAGAACTTACAGTGTTTTAAAATCCAGGAGATAAGTACTCTGCCACTTTACCATCTTTGTGTTTTGTTTTTGTACAGTACTGAAGATTGAGCCCAGGACTTTTACACCAAGCTATAAACCCAGCCCTTTTCATTTTGAACAGTTTTTATTTATATTTAAGACTGAAATTTACCAGAACGGGTCACTGGATAATTCTGCTTTATCAGTATAAAATTTAAGGGTCTTTATGTCCATACCTTTGCAGTATCTTTGAAGCCATGTTCACTGCTTCTGTACAGCTAAATTGTACAGCTAGGTCTTTTATTCCAATATTTGAATTCACATCCAGTAAACACTCCAAAGATTTAAGACAGCTCTGATACATTTTCTTGTTCAATCCAGAAAGTTTAATTAAATAAGCCTTTGAAAGGAAAAATATACAAATCTTAAGTATTAGCACACTTAAAACACTTAATATGTGGTATAGACTTTTCGAAATTAATTCTGTGACAAGTCATTCTACCTAAAGATTTAGCTTCATTTAATAAAAATCAGCAATTGGGCCAGGGATTTAGCTCAGTGGTGCTGCCGCCTGCCTTGCAAGCTCAAGGTCCTTACAAGTTCAATCCCCAGTACCAAAAAAATTAAATAAATAAAAATCAGCAATTACCTCAAGCAGACTAGTCCTTCAAAGAGCTCATACCATAGGAAGGCAGTAATGCATATTCACAGGAAACTTTAAAATAATTATATAGTATCAATGTCTAAAATGTAGAGAAAAAAACACTGTGGGAGATATGTTTTTTTTTTTCAACACATGTGCCATTGAGCATTTTTGAGGGAAGATTGACAGAAGTGATAGCAGTGTAAAGGGAGAGTGTGTATGTGGAGGAGAAAAGGTAGAACAGGGAAACAAGGACAGAAACAGGAAGATCAACAACTGAGAAACCAACTGTCTGGGAAAGTCAAGGGGAGCTTCATAAAGGATGTAAAAGCAGGTGAAGGGTGACATAAGACAGGGATTTGCCCGAAGAGCATTCCTGGAAAGACCAAGTATTACATCAGTAAAGCCACAATTTACTAAACTGCAAAAGTCTGTTTAGTAAATACTATAGTTTGAAATCACGGTTTAAAAGAGGCTGGAAACTTTAATGGGAGACAACAGAGTTTAGTTTTAACATTTACACCATTTAATGAGTGTTACTATCACACAGGTCCTGTGTTTACAGGTGTTACATAATCATCACAACTGTGAAATGGAAATTTTTATCTCACTTTATGGAGGAGACTGGTGAATCACAGAACTAGAAAACGGTATTGAGATTTGGCTTCAACATGTGACTCTTGCTGACTCCAAAGCTCCTTCTTTTAAATACTGTGATATTGGAAAAATACAAACATAGGTTTTAAAGTTTAGGCTTTTAGGAAGCTACTGCTAACAGCAGTATGGGAGATGATGGCCTCTATGAAGAAAAACATAGGAAAACTAGATAATAAAGAGAACATTGCAAAAAGTATCTTTTTCCAACTTGACAAAATGATTCTTAAATGTATCTAGAATAACATGAGAATAGCTGCAAAAAAATCTTGAACATGAGTTTTTGGCCACAGTCTAGCCCAACCAAACTAAAATGTAAGGGTTCAGTTTTAGATTACTTGGACATTCAATGAGACTCACCCTGTCCAAGGGGCACTTCATACAAGCAGCTGCAAGGTCCAAGCACATGACAGCATTGCTAGTTTCTGTGGAATGTGCAGACAGAGCAGTACACTTCACCTGAGACAGTCGCAAGTACTCCTCGGCTTTCCTGGTGTAAGAGCAATGTGTTCACTAAAACTTTTTCAGAAGTTTGCTCAACACTGAAGTAAACAATGAATATAGCCTGGTGTACTTCATACTAAATTTACTTGGGGCTCAGAATGAAGTGGGTATCCTTGAGGGGACGGGCTCAACATAAGTGCTTTCGGCAAGATTAAGTTCCGCTCCCCCCCCGCCAAGAGCCCTTCGTTACTTCTCCCATTACTGGAACAAGCGTGAACAATCAGAGGGAGAGCAGGTTAGACCAGGATCCCTTCTTTTCATCAGTGGTTCTCAAACTTACTGTACAGGACAAAAACCTCGGGGGCTTGTGAAAACAGATGATGGGTCTCATCCCCAGCTTCTGATTAGCAGGCCTGAGGTGGAACTCAAGAGTTTGCATTTCTAACAAGTGCCAAGACGATACTGCTATTGCGGGTCCAGGAACCACACCTGAGAATCGCTGTTCTCACAAAGATCTTTCCCATCTCAAGGATTCTGTCACAGCCCTCGTCTTGCCATACCTTCCCATGGCTGGCACTGTCAATCAGGTTTCAGAGCAATGTCTCCTCCGGGGCCTTCCCTGACCTTTTATGAAAAGTAGCGCCAGGTGTCCCCATAGTCACTCCAGCACACCAACCATTCCGCGTATAAAGTCCTACATGGTTCTTGCCATGATCTCCACAGGTCTACACTGCGATCCGGTTCACCGCCACCGACAAGCTCTCAGGAAGAGCCTGCGGAAGGACCCAAGTAACCCCGCACTCGTTCCTTTTTCCACCACCCTTCAACCCACAGGGCCAGTCGTTACCGACATCGTCTACAGGCACCCTCTTGTCACCTCGCGCGAGGCCGTGGCCGGAAGTTCTTCAGGCAGGCCTCGGGCTCACCCGGCCCCAGCATCCTAGTGGCGCCGGCCACGCCTAGGGAGGGCTTAGGACCGTCAGGAAGAGACCCCCGGGGTGGGGTCGTGCCCAGACAGACTCACCTCAGCACACTGGGCTCAGCGAGGCCCAGGCGAGGGGCGAGACGCTCAATCAATCCCGAACCCATGGCGCGAGAAGGAGAAACTCGCGCAGTGCGCTGCAGCTGAACAAAACCCCGCGCAGACGCAGGGCTGGCCAGTGAGAGCAGGGCCCGCCTCCGGTGCATTTGCATTGGTTGGGACAAGGGAACTAGTCCGTTCCACAGACCAATCCTGGTCTTTGTTCTGCGCGGGCGCGCCACGAGTGCACTTACCGAGGCGGACATAACGTAGAACTGTTCCTTCTTTTGTAACAAACTCTTTAAATATCGTCTTTCCTCCCTGCCTGTCTTTGAGCAATACTCACTGCCTGCATCGGCCCGCCCACTCACGCTGTGGAGCGACCACCTGAGGCCCAGATCCGTCAACCCTAGCGTTAAGTGACAGGGGCCAATAAACACGCGAGACTTGCTCCCTAGAAACCAGCCAATTGAGGAGCCGCCTGCAGGCCGAGGGCGGGGCCAGAGAGGGCGGGGCTGGGAGCCTCGGAGTCACCTGACTCGGGAGGCTCCTTGCGCGGTGGGTGCCTCTTGCTGCGGGCTCCGGGAGTCGCCATGGTGAGTGTTGGGGTGGGGGGGGGCGGGTGGCCGGCCCTGCTCTTCCCTTCGTGCAGACCCGGTTTCGTTCCACCCGTCTGAAGTCCTACGGGCGGAGCAGGGGCCCCACAACGCGATCGAGGCCAAGGCAAACCCTGCCTGGCCTGTGGATAGGGGACAGGCGGGGGAGGCCGCAGCAGGGCGATCCCGGCCGCGGTGGGCGGTGGCTCTTGGCCGCTACTATTGGTCTGAGATGAGGCCGCCTCCCGAGGGGAGGTCTCGCCCAGGAGGCTGTGGGTGTCTGTGGAGGTCTGTGGCTGCCTCTTGAGTGGAATCACCTATCTCCCTTCTGGCGTGGAGCCCGAGTGCCAGAGCCTAGCTGCGGGCGGGTCGGGGGACGTGCGGGACGCCAGAGCCTCCGAGGTGACTCGGGACCCGCCCAGGTGGTGCGTTTCCACTTTGGTGTTTGTGTCTAGCCGGTCCTCACTGCATTTTCTTGACAAGAAGTATCTTCCAAGGCACTCGTAGTGGTTCCAGCCTTTCTTTTCCTCCTGGTGCTCTTGTGCTGTAGTGTTTGTCAGCGAATTCTAAGGGTCTCCTTCCGTGAATTTCCTGGAAGAACTCATGCTTCCCTTCTTTTAATCCCGACCATCGCAAGAAAGACTGCTTGTTTCCTTTCACGTTTGTTCATTAGGGACCCTGGCTCATTTGTCTACTCGTTGATGAAATCCGAGTATTTTACTGGGAAGGAGAGAGTTTTGTCTGGGAGGGCGAGAATTTTGTCTGGGGACCTCTGGAAAGACTACAAGAAGTTGTGAGAAACAGAAGGACGGTCAGAAATTCATCTGGAGAAGGGACATTGCCAATAGATGAAGCCTTGGGTACTGGTCAATTAGCACAAGTTTGATATTCAAATTACGGGGTTTTGTTGTTGTTTTTTCTGTTTTTTTGGTTTTGTTTTTTCCTTGCAGTGCTGGCAATCAAACCCAAGTCCTTGAACCTGCTAGGCAAGCAAGCACTCTACAGCTGAGCTATATCCCCAGCCCAAATTACGTTTTAAAGTTCCCATCCTGTCATCATCCTTAATTCCCCCTACAGATTGTTTTGTTTTGTTTTGTTTTGTTTTGTTTTGGGGTTTTTCTATTTGAGACAGGGTCTCTCTCTGTAGCCTAGGCTGGCCTTCAACTAAGGATCTTTCTGCCTCAGCCTCTGAGTGCTGAGATTATAGGCATGTGCCACCATGCCCAGCTCCGTACAAATTGTTAATTTGTGCCATATCATCATTTCTTAAATAGCACTTTTATTAACATGATAGAATTTTCTGTCTTTGTGGGATTAGTTTTCATTTTACAGTTGATTTGCATTGTATTGTTAGATTACATATGCAACATGTAAATGGGGAAACTGACCAACAAATAGTTTGCTACAATGAGTGGAGATTATTCCTCATAACAGGAAAAAAAATACCTTTACTATCCCCATTTTATAGAAGAGGAAGCAAAAACTCATTGTTAAATTGAGACTAGTTTTGTAAGTGATCAGTTCATGATGACCGTACTTTCTTTGCAACTCATAACAGTGTAGACTTGGGAGGCTGTTTGCAGCTGGCAAGCTAAAATGCGCCTAATCACAAATATTAATTAGATCTTGATTCTATAGTGTTTCTCTGATTGATGCGCTGTTAAGTATAGAATCATTTGCACATTGAAAACTCATTTTCATGAGTGAAGAGATATTGGCTGTCTTGTGTTTAATAATAGGATAGTCAGTTGTTTCTCCTTTGTAGAACACTTCCCAGGGCATCACAGGTAGCCTTTAGAATAGCCATTTGAGGCATAATTGAATTGTCTCAGTAATGTGTAGAAATGTATTTATTATGGCTTCCTGTTTTCATTTGTAGCCTACTTTGTATTGTTTTCTTACATAATTTTCTACATTTTGTAACTTTAAGCTCATTTCATGCAAAATAAAAGAATTTTGCCAAAATTTTATTCATTGGTTTATAGAACACTGACTCTAAGTCATTCTCTACAAATATTTTGAACCGTTTATGATCTTTTTTTTCTTTTGCTAGATAAAGATTATTGTACATAATAGTCAAAAGATAGAAACAACACACATGTTCATTGATGGCGTGGATTAATAAACAAAATGTAGTATACAGTAAACTATTATTCAGCTTTAAAAAGGAAGGAACTTCTGACATATACTACAACATGAATGAACTGTGAAGATATTACACTAAATGGTATAAGCCAGACACAAAAGGAAAAATATTATGTGATTTCAGTTATGTGAGGTATTCAGAGTAGATAAACTTAGAGCAAAAGAATTGCTTGAGGGGCTGGGGATTTAGCTCAGTGGCACTGTGTCCCCCTCGAAAGAATGAGGTCCTGAGTTCGATCTCTGGTACAAAAAAAAGAAAGAGAAAGAAAGAAAGACGGAAAGAAAGAAATGCCTGAGGAAGGATGTGGGGTGTGTTAGGATACATAGACAATGGATACATTTGGAAAGATGAAAATTCTGGAAGTGGAAGGTGGTAATGGCTGTGTAACAGTGTAAATGTTGTAAATCTTGCTCTTATAAAATGTCATGCATCATTTCTTAGGTCTAAGTTGACCTTTCAACTTAATGAAATCTATTGATTTTAATTACTGTTAAACTTACCCAGAGGTAAGGAGCCAGAAAAATCTCAGGCAATAGTTTGTTTTCACTAATGTTCTCAGAGGGCTGGCTGGTGATAAGTCGTCCATTTTACAATGTTGGTGTCCTCCTTACCTCTGAAACCAGCATTTTGTGTTAATAGTTCTACTATATAAATTAATGTTCTTTTTAAGATAAAAGACACCTAACTTTTTCTTTGGAATTTATTTATACTTCTGAAGAAGAATGATTGTAGGGAAACTCAGTTTACTCAAGTTTGTCATGCAAAAAGTAATAAAGGGAGATTCATAGCATTGCTCATTATTCAATTTCTATTGTTCTCTTTGCAAAATTAAACGAAGAGAAAGTTTTTAGTTTTTACAAGCTATTGTAGTTTGGAAGTGGATTTTGTGTAGTTTATATTTCTTTGTTAATTTGCACATTAAATATTGATTTGATTGTCTTAGATATGAAATAGACCAGATTTTAGTTTCATGTTTATAGGTAAGTCTTTGGCTTCTGCCTTTTTAATTCACTATGTAATAGGCATTTTGTCTTTTTTAAGTTAAGCTGAAATTGACTTAAGATCAACCATTTTGAGGTGGACAATTCAGTGACATTTAATCCATTTTTAAATCACCTCAGAAGGGAACCCTGTACTCAAAAAGCGGTAACTCCCCCACTGTTCCTCCAGGTAACCACCAATCTGCTTTATGGATGATATATCTGTTCAGGATATTTCAAATAAATGGAATCATACAATATGCAACCCTTTGAGTCTGGCTTCTTTCTTTTTTTTTTTTGGCACTGGGGATCGAACTTGGGTCTTTGCGCTTGTGCGGCACGTGGCGAAACCACTGAGCTAAATCCCCGGCCCTGGCTTCTTTCACTTAACATGTTTTCTAGATTCATTCACGTCGTATCTATCAATATTGAATCCCCATCCCCAGCCCTTTTAATTTTTTAGTTTTATTTATTTACTTTTGAGACAGTCTTGCTAGGTTGCTAAGTTGCCCAGGCTATGCTCAAATCTGAGATCATCCTCCCTTGGCCTCCCAGAGTGCTAAGATGACAGGCATGTGCCACTACATTTGGTTATATTTCTTTGTATGGCTGAATAATATTCCATTGTGTGTACTATGAGTTATTTATGCATTCATCTTTTGATATTTAGTCATTTTTATTAAATATATAATAAAATGTTCTAAAACCAGCGTATGCATGCACTAAATATTTATGTACATTGGATCCCAAGGACTTAGAAATGACCGTCATTCATAATTATAAGGTGATGCATGCTGTGCTAGAAATGTAAACTATTAATACAGTATTAGGGAGTAGTCGATTCTATTTGACAGCAAGAGCTAATTCATTTTGCAATCAGATTTTTGCTGATGCCTGGAAAGAATAGATATATTTTGTTCATTATAGCTGTATTTATATATTTTAAATGGTATAAACTAGGTATTTGAGGAGAGTATTCTTTGTCATTTTCTATTGTAAGTCATTAGGAATTAATTTCAGTTATTTTATTTCCAAATTGTTTAGTTCTTTGTTATATATTGCCTGAGAATAGCCTACAATGTAGATAAAAAATAGTTGGGAGGGAAAGAGAGGCTTTTAGAGATTTGAGTTAAACTATTACCTGTCACAAGGGTTAGATTGATTGGATAGATGGCTATATTCTGATTGTTTTCAGAGCATAGTAGCACAACACAGCCATGTACTACCAGAAGTTTCTTTGAAGCCAACCTACTATAAGGATGTTGAAGTCAGTTC